CTTGTGTTCACACCAATCCTACAGCCCAGCCTGAGCTACCATGGAGTTGACAGGACGCGTACCAGCTGTCATGGCTACCCTTGCGGACATAAGTCCCACTGTGCGCTCCCGAACTAAGATGACAAGCCACTTCAGCATGCAAGCGGCTTTATACCACAGTCGTGCGATGATAACAGGCGCAGCTAGGAAGGTACTTTGGATCAGTCGCACGATATCTCCACGTGCCAACGTTCCTTCAACTATGCCAGTATCTTCCAGATGCTGACATGAGATAGTGAGAGAGCACATTACTCGAAACCTTCTTCATTACAATTACCTCTAGATACTTCCACCAAACTCTTGTCCACTCTCTCATTCCGTCCGATACTCCCTACACACGATCCCATCCTTATCCGTCCTTTCAATAACTCTGGATCTCTTCGGCACAGCACCATTATCCACCCTCCCATCCCTCCACTCCCATCTCAACTGTTTCTTCGGCCTAACCACCACCGCCTGTGTCATCTCCGACTTCTTCTCCCCCAAATCCCCATGAACCACGTTGATGCCTTCGTCCGTAACTCCGCGTTCCAACCACTCGCTCGCTCTGTCATCACTTGCGCTCGTCTTGATCTCGGGCAGTAGTTCGATTGATGGTGATGGCGGTACGGACGAGTAGCGTTGCTGTAGGTCTTCGTAGTGCTCCTGTTGTATTTGTTGCCGCGAAAGGCGATGCGATAGGCGGGACTCTCGACCGGATTCGAGATCGAGTAGAGCGGGCTCCTGGGCTGGTTGTTGACTGGCCTTTCTCTTGTGTCGATTGATGAGGCGGATGACGAGGTAAACCAGCATCAGGATGAGGATCGTAGATGTCAGAACGATAAGGGCAAGGAAGAGATCTGTCAAAAAGTTCGTATCGGCCATGTTAAACGTGCTCATGGCGAAAATGTCGATTTGTACCAACGCCTGCAAAAGGACAGAATGGAGAGAGTTGCAAATGCTGTGGCGCCTGCTGCGAGAGGTATACTGCAGTACTTAAGGCTGTCAGGTGCAGCATGGGACGTAGCCACTAATCAAGAGATCTCTTTATCAAACAGCCGGACCAGTAAAAGGATTCTGTATCCATGCATGAGCTCAACTGTACGAGGGTCCGGCTAATCTGCTTTGTGGTCGTGTTGTGTTGTGCAAAGTGGTACATACTATGGGAGAGGGAACTTGCACGACTCTTCATCGACTCGAGGGACAGCATAGCCCGTTTGAAGGACGAGGCCTTTCCATGACACGCACAAGACAACGCTCAGATCAGATCAGGAATGAAAGCTCTTTGGTCAACCTAATGGGTATGTACAAACTTGCACCTTAAGCCGCCTGATCCAACGCGCCAGTGTAGTCATATACAAGCCTAACCCTAACAACCTCATCGCCTCCGACCTTCCTAACCACAAACTTCCTCGTCAGCTTCCTCTCACCCCCAATATCCGCGAAGCCCCAGATCTGCCACGCAGTCCATTTGTTCGCCTCGTTTTCCACAAAGCTCTCGACAACATCTCCTTCTTCTGTCTCCTTCAACCAGCCTTCTGCCACAAACTTTGCATCTTCCTCGCTCACACCTGCAGCCTTTCCTTCTTCGACTGCCTTGGCTAGGGCAATGTAGCGCGAGCGTCCCTTGACGGTGCCGAACAGCCGGTCGACGTGCTCGCGGTAGTGCCAGTCTAGGATGCGAGTCTCGGTGGAGCCTTTGATGCCGCCGGTGATGAGTTGGTCGATCTTGATTTCTGTCGTCGGCGTGTTGTCTTCGCCGTCTATGGTGGTTTGGTACAGGTGTTGGGTTACCGTCGCTGCGCCGAGGGCTTTACGCGTCAACCAGCCCATGCCTTGGAGGGCGAGGACGGCGTCGAATGCATCCGAGAGGGACTTGTTCTAGGATGTGTTAGAGCGATGTTGCGATGCACGAAATGATGAAGGTGTGCAAAGAACACAATGACTTGAAAGCTTCTTGAAACTTACCATGACCCATTTCCCCTCGAGGTTCTTGATATCAGCACTCGCTGGAGCTGCCATATTGCCTAGTATGTTTGTTGGTAGAACTGTAGTTTGGTACGATCCGACTTCGTGGTGAGAAGAGCTTCGACAGCTATCGCGGGGCTATGGTGATTGGTAGCGGTGGGTACCGTCCTAGTTGGGGTGGCCATGTGCAGTGCATCTTATATGCCGGTCGCCCAAGCACCAAGCCTATCCAGAGACGCCGTGTGGATTAGCACCTGCCTTAGTCGACAATCGCACACTGTCACGTTCGTACCTGAGCGAACATCATGCGTGGCGTCGTGGGAAGGGATGCCGAGGTTCGTCTGCTTCGGGATAGCACCTCCGCGGGGAACCCTGGTCTTCCATCTCATTTGCGCTCGCATCAACTCTCTCTATTCCCCAACCACCGACGGCACACCTCCAGCTTAGGACGGGTCGCATGTGAACACTGCTCGGGAGAAGGCTTCCTGGACGCGTAACTTCCCGTCTACGGACTGATGGGGCCAGTCAGAAGAGCATGATACTGATCGCAAAGCGCTGACACGCGATGAGGTGATTTTTAGCTGCATCGCCTCATCTCCGATTCATACTTGTCCTCCTGTGCGCCTTTCGTCTGTCAGTCTCTATCTCCGCCTCCATCGTTGAATCGAGCTTGATGCAGCCCAAACGAGGAGCAAACACGAGACATGACCAGGAAGCCGACAGATGACTTCAAAGTGACACGATGTTGCCGCCGGCAAATGGCTCAAAAACCGCTGGGTCTCTTGTAAACCTTCCATCGTGCGCATGTGCGCTAACACTTCGACTTCACTCACTGGAGAAACTTCTGTCACTCCACAAGAACTATTCTAAGAACAGTTTCCTCGCTGTACCTTACTCTCACGAGTACTCATCAGGTGCCGCACGTTTCGGTTCGTGAAATGTTCCGAAACAACGAGCATGTTTCAATGGCCGCCGACATGGTGAAGCTTAGCGCGCAAGCACGTCAGAACTTGCAACAACCGACGGCACAGGGGGGCGAGTATCATTAGAGAGTTCGCATCTGAGGTAAGGCTGCGACACGGAACGTATGTTGCTGGGGTTGGTCGATGCCTCAGATGTCATGTCCAAACTACCCAGCCGCTCGGTAATTTTCCCCTCAGCTTCAAGTCTGGTTCGCGGGTTGCTTTTGTTTACCAGGCATCTCAACACCTGCTTTGATTATCTCTCTTTCGAGCGCGCTGGAACTCGCACCTCGTATCTTCTTCTTTTTTCATACCCGCATCCTCGTCAGAAGGTCACTTAATTCTCTTGTGGCACAGTCGCACAGAGTCTCATCAAACTTCTCGTCACTTGGTCACTCATTGGACGTACACACGGCTTCGCGCAGCACTATCATCATATCGCCCCATTTCAGACGGTTACAAGCGCAGTGAAAGACAATTTTGCACGTTCCAATCGGTCTTGCGATCTCGAATTTTCGCCAGCAAAGCGCCATACAATCGTTCTTACTTCTACGGCGGCTCAGGAAGCCCGGGTACATAACGACTTGGCCGAACGGTTCCCAACGATACTTTCTTTTTCTCAACGTCCCAAACGGTCAAACTGAACAGAGGGACCGAGCACTCTTTCCCGCCCGATTCGACGTCATATCGCGCAAAAAGCTCGCAGTCGTGCATCGAAGTGACTCCACTGCACGCGTTTGTTTGTCAACAACAACCTACTATATTCACGACACTCGCTCTCGCTGAAAACCCACGCTCGTTCATTATTCTTCCAAACAATAATCAATCACCCCACATTCTTTTACCCGCCACGCGAACACTACGCCAACCCATCTCAACACCATATCAAACACCCCAAACCGCGCAACTCCACGCAACAATGAAGTCCATCTCCATCCTCACGGCCTTCGCCTCCACCGGCGCCTTCGCATCAGCAATCCAATTCCCCAACCTCCAAGATCGCGCCATTGATCCCGCAACCATGAACCCAACACTCCTCTCAGTCTTATCAGTGCTCAAAACAGCTATGCCCACGGGCCCCAACGCCCCCATGCCAACAGGCGATATGGAGCCGGGTTGGTACCAGAAATTACCCGGAGATGTCAAGAGTCTGTTACCGGAGCTGTATCCTGCTGCTGCGGCTGCGACGTCGGAAGCGGGCGCGGGTGTTGTGAGTCAGGCACAGAGTACGGATACGGTGGTGGTGAGTGCTTCCTCCTTTGCCTCATCATCTTTGTCGTCTCTATCCGTGTCTTCCTCTGTAAGCGCGTCTGCGTCTGCGTCTGCGTCTATTTCGGCGTCCTCGCCTTCCAACGCCAGCGATACATCTCTCACGACGTCGACGTCAACATCACAGACCGCACTTACTAAGACATCGCAGTTGGCGTCAACAATCACCGATCTAGTGTCGCCATCGTCATCTGAACTATCCTCAGAAAGCGCCTCACCCACAGCGTCTTCTGCAACTCCAGCCAGCGCTTCAGCTACGCCATCGAACTCACCGTCTACTGGCAACAGATTCGCGGTCAGGACGGAGACACTGGCCGCAATCGCCATGTTCAGTGTTGGAGCCGGATTCTGCATCTTTGCATAGTCTGATAACGATGCACGCTACTAGACGTTTGATGAGACTACGCTGCGATCGGTCCGCATTCTTTCTTCATCTTTTCACGGGTATTTCTCGGAGTTGTATGTGTAGGAAAAAAGCGGAGTATTTTTTGGATGTTGGGTGAACTAAGCCCGACCGAATGACGAGAACGATGGCTTCCATGCGCTGAGCGCTATACGACGAGCTTTGAGCGGGAGTACGTGTGCTTTTGCATGTTTTTTCTTTGTATATCCTTTTTGAGATATCCCCACACGATACGATACGAATGTAATGTAGCTTTCTGTTTGAGCATGTGAACAAAGACGCTACTATGAGTGCTACTGTTCCATCAAATACGTCTCTCCATATCCCGCACGCAGTATGCTTTACAAAGACACAAACCCCATGACAGCGCCGTTCCTCCCTCAGAGACAAAGCACACCCGCAACCCTGACCCCCAAGTCCAACACAGCAAGATGTTCATCCCCACCATCCACAAGCCTCTTATCCGTCTCACTAAACACACCCGCAAGCCTAACCTTCTTGACATCCTCAACCCTCTCATCATACATGATCTGTTCGTACAACTGACCCACAGTCTGCGACGCGCTCCACCCCTCTGCAATCATGTTCTCCACTACCTTGGCAATCTCGTTGTAGCGTATCGACTTGGTAGCCGATGACTTTGGGAAGAGCGAGTCGCTGAAGGAAGACAGTGTAGCTGGAGGCAGCACACCCGCGATCTCCGCGATGATAGGGAGGGAGACAGCGGGTGTCTGAGTCGGCGTTGCCGCGGAATCAATATCCATCTCATCGTCCTCAGCAACAACCTTCTTCTTCTTTTTGCCTCCCGCACCCTGAGCTTGGACGACAGCTCCAACAAGCCTAGCCGCAGATTGCAAGAACGTAATCGCCTTTCTCAGATCACCATCCGCGACGCGGACCAACTCCTCTGCCACCCCTTCTTCCAACTGCACATTCTCCAGCCTCGCGATATCGCCCACACGCTTAACCGCATTCCCCTGATCCAGACTCTTGAACCTGAACTTCGAACACCTACTCGCAAGCGGATCGATAATACGAGTAACGTAGTTACACACGAGACAGAATCTCGTCATGCGACTGTACGTTTCCATAGTCCTACGCAGCGCACTCTGCGCATCCTGCGTCATACTATCTGCCTCATCCAGCACAATGATTTTGAACGGCGGACACGGGTATTTATCTCTGTACCGCACTTGTTTTGTGTCGCCGCTGCTCGCGTCTTCCGTCATGACGTTGTAGGTGGGCGCTACGCTGAGTTGCTGGCGCGCAAAGTCCTTGACTTTTTGACGCACGATGCTGATGCCGCGTTCGTCTGAGGCGTTCAGTTCGAGGACGCGTGACTTCATGAGTTCGGGGCCGTAGAGTTCTTTGGCGAGGGCGAGGATTGTGGACGTTTTTCCTGTGCCTGGCGGGCCGTAGAAGAGCATGTGTGGGAGGTTGGAGGATTGCATGGTGCGGGAGAGGATTTGGATGGTGTTGTCTTGGGCTGTTACTTCGGAGAGGGTTTTGGGGCGGCTGTGATGCTGTTAGTGAGGGTGCAGAATGGCGTGCTTGGGTGTTGCGTTCGTACTATTTCTCTACCCATGGCTGCATGCGATTGGGCTCTTGCTTCGTCGTAGGCGCTTTTGATGAGCTGGCCTTTGCAGCGGCTTGTTGCCTCGCTTTTACGTTGAAGAAATCGGCCATTGTGGTGGTTGTGTGGAGATTGAGATGTTGGGGTTAGGGTGTTGAGCTGGTCTGCTAAAGTGCGACGCGTCGACGCGAGACCGCGAACTCACGTTTTTGCACAGACCACATCTTCTTTCTCCAACCCCATCATCGCGGCATCAAAACAGTTCGCCATTCCTCCATCATGCTCAAAGATCCAGATACCGTATAATCTTCCGCGACACACGTCTAAATCAACGATTCAGATAAGTTGAGCGATTCACATAGAGCAATGGATGATTTCGGACATGTCTCATGGCAGAAGATGTCAAAAACACAGTTCAACGGATATATTGCACACCCTGATTTCTTCTCGAGCGATGACCAGATGCTAGAAATCTGCGACGACGCCAAACAATGCATGCACCTCCGCTCATACCAAGCTCCTCAACTCCACCAGTATGCCCACCACTTCCAGGCTTCATGAGCCTTTCCATTGTCGCTCGGGTTACAGACCTATGGTGTCAGAGGTCGCGCCCCAGGAGTGTGACTAGCCTAGACTAATCTACTTCCCAAGCTTAACCCCCTTTACCCTCTTAGCCAACTGTACTGAATCGGAATCTGAGCCATAGGAGGACTGTCGCATCGTACCGCGGGTGTGGTCTCGGGCTGCAGCCCCCCTACTGGCCGACTGGGACTGGGGCGAAGATTGATAGGAACGTTTCGGGGGGCGCTCACCACTTTCTTTGAGAATGGTCAGAAGGGTTGCCCAGCCTCCGGTATGTTGGAGCGCTGAGCCTTCTGAGGTGTCGTGCGTTGATGCTACCTTGAAGAGCAGTGACTCTTCGTCCTAGTCGTACAGTTAGCAAAATATCCATGCAGTTTTGCAGTGACGCACCTTTGACAGAATGCCGAGGTTATGGATAAAGCAAAGCATGTGGAAATTCGAAATGGCATTGAGACCGCTGGTCGTGTTGAGCGCCAGCCCGTTCGCTCTGGCGTTGAGAGCTTTGCCAAGATGTGAGATCTCTGGCATCTCGCCCATGGCCTCGCGGTTCTCGATCGGGAACTTGCCACCCGTGAAGAGAGGATTTGGCTGAGTAGGGAATCCGTGTGTTAGTGTGAGAAGCAGATATTCCACGGGGAAGTCGGGTTTGGCAATCTCTTGTACGTTCGCACCGTGTTCGTTGATTCTTCTGTAGAAAACTTCAGGAATGTACCGCGCGCGGTTCAAAGCTTCGTTGTCTTCTTCCGACTGAACAAGCATGACTGATGGCTCGGCTGAGGGCTCGATGATGTCTGCGCGGACCATCTCGACGGCGTCGTTCGAAACCTGGTACGACGAGATGCCAATCTGACCTTGATCATCGCCGCTGATTACGCATGTTACGAAGTTGGATCCGTGTCGGCCGGTGTCGCTCCATTTGGAAGGCCGGGGGTACCTTGCTTGATATCGTGCTGCGAAGCAGATTTCTAGGGACGAAAGGTAGTACGAGTCCATGTGTCGCTTGCAGATGACAGAGCCGTCGCCCTTGTCCGCGTCGAGGAGATCAGTAAAGATCACTCCGACGCGTTGCAGCCCACACTGTGCGGCAATCTCGTCAATCTCCTTCTCATTGTCCCATTCGCCTAGCGAGATGCCGTCCGCCTCGTTGACTTGCGGTGGCTCGTAGATGGTCTCGACAACAGCCTTTGTTCCCAGCGGCACCTCAGTATACTCCTCGTACCTCCCGTACAAGAAGCCCAGTCGCTGACAGCCCGTCTGTCTCCAGAAGTTGATCACATCGTCTACCACCTGTATCGAGGCGAACTCGACGTGATCTACCATGCGGTACTCTTGTGGCTTCAACGAGATGGCGCTAGGCATGCACTTGGTGCAGATACCCTCTGGGAACGGCTTGTGTCCCGATGGACAGTCGGGGCGTACGCGGTAGTAGGGTTCGGTCAGCGGTGGCATGTACGAGCTACCGAGCTCTGGCCTGTTCTTCGCCGAGTTGACTTTGCGCAGGTATGAATGGAAGGAGAGGTGCTTGATCTTCTTCTCGGCGAGGTATGCGGGCGAGTAGGGTTCGAGGGGCATACAGTAGTCGCACATGCCCTTGGGCCCGTGGGAACACATGCGGGCGTCGCGTTTCCTGGGGATTTTGCCATCCTGTCTATCTAGCCTGTCGTCGAGCGGGGACTGCCTGACAACCTCCCATGGGTTCTTTATAGTTTGCAGAGCATCGCCGATGGGAACGGAGCCCATGTTGGTCTCTTCGACGGGTTTGCCATTTAGTCGTGCGCCGCCGGTCGAAGATGCAGCATGGCCGTTCGGTGCCGCAGACTGCTCCTCGAAGGACAGGAAGAGTTGCGCGCCGTTTCTACGGTATCGTTAGCCGTGAAGACGAGCTCAGCCAAGTTACATACGATAGTCCCACTTGCTTGAAGCTTACGCCCTCAAGACCAGCAAGCTTCCTCGCGTCGCCTCCCTGCGGCTTGTTGCTAACACTGATGCTCTGGATGTCGACATTCTTGGGCAGCTTCTCGGCAACCTGGGGCAGAATCGACGAAAAGGTGTCCTCGGGCTGTACCGTCAACCGGAACTGGCCGTCTTTGCTAACGAACTTGTGCGAATTAGTAAGATATCACCTGCATTGGGCATAAAGACATACCCTCAATATCATGATCGGAACGCTATGAATTTCGTGGTGGAGTGGATAAAGGTGATGCAGGTGGTAGGTTATAGGTAGGAGATCGTGGAGGAAAGTGCGACCAGAAGAAATAAGTAGACAAAGGCGAGGTGCAGTGGTGAACCTTGGTTGGTGTTGGTGATTGATTCGAGAAGGCGCCTGTAGCGGAGCGGACATGGATGACGCAGACGCGCTAGAAGGACGCTAGTCGGGCGCGGAACTGGACAGATATTCGAATGTATCGATAAGTGAGACAACAGCGACTCGCCCTCCCTCTTGGTCTTCACCTACCCCATATCTCACTACTGAGAACACCGTCGCTCCTTCATAATCTAACGTCAGCGCCTGCATCGCATCGCGAGCTTGTCATACCTCTTCACATTCCGCGCAAACAAACCACACACAACCCACACAACATTCACCATGTGGCCCTTCGACATGGTCGACTGGGTAATGCTTACCGTGCCCATCGCTTACATCGGTATCCTCGCCGGATCGTTTACAGTCTTCACCAACCTCTACCGCAAGCGTCAAGCCGCCAACGCCGCATCCCTCGAACCCTGGTTCCCCACACATCTCCAGCGCAATGTCTACCTCTCCCTACTACACATGGACGAACCCAAGGTGCCGGACAGCGTACTCAAGGCTGCGCTATTGCGTCGCGCAACAGAGGACATACATAGGATTGTTCAGATAAGAAACGCCAAGCAGGCGCTGCAGGCATTGCTGCAGAGGGGTAGCGTGGGCGATGATCTGTGGCAGCGATTCCAGCGGGCAGAGAAGGAGATCGAGGAGGAACTCAGGGATGTCGTCAACGAGGTGAGTCCTGAGAGTCTAGATTGAAGTCGAGTGACTTCGCAATTCTTTGAGTATGACTAACATTGAGACAGGCCAATGCTTTCGCACCGAACTGGGGCCAGACCATCTTCCAATCCGCTTCCGAAATGGCACAAAACAACCACATCCGCGAGCGTCTCGGTGAGATCACAGCCAAGGCACCAGCGGAGAAGGAGTGGTGGGAGAACCGCAGGGCTGGCATCCAGTCCGAGTTCATGAAGGAGTTGGACGAGGAGAAGGCCAAGAGCGACGATGGTGTAATAGTGGAGAAGGCCAAGGCATGAGGAGTGCAAAGCTGTGATGATGCGCGCGTTTACTTCTAGGGGTCGAACATGGGGTTACTGAAGATGTATAGGGTCATGGCCTTTGCAGCATTTGTGTAGCTATCCATTACGCCTGTGATATGTCTCAGCCGTTGAGTTTTGATGTATTGAGGACCATGGCGTCTGAGACATCTGACAGGCATACTGGACAGCTACACATCAGTAGCTACGTGAGCGAATCACCATATTATCATCATCGTTTGCAGTCAAATTAGTGGACTTGAGCAGATGGTCAACTCTGTCAAACTTGTATCAACTTGTTCAAATGCTAAATTGCAGTGCTATAAACGCCATTATCCCATAGAGTACAAGCCCCATACTGCTAACTAACAAAGACTGTCTGTCGTACACCAGATATACAATGCTCGATCTTCCTTCTCTCTCTTATCTCCACCAGTTCATACATATATCGAGATCTTACTTCCTCGTGGGTCCGCTGACACCGGCACCGATAACACTGGGCAGCTCCTCGGCACCCATGCTGTAGAGCATACCAATACCAGCAGAGATCAAGAAGGCCAGAGTGACACCGGCACCAACAAAGAGCCAGAATTCAACCGAGATGTCCTTCTTCTGGCAAGCGGGGCCGCCCCAGTAGGTGACCTTTCTCTGGCCCTCCATACCCTTTCCGTCTTTGTGCTCGACCGTAGCGGCGCAGGCGCATCCATAGCAGTCAACTGTCTCCTGACCGGGACCGGATCCACGTCCCTTGTGGAGGAGCTTGCACTCGCCGTGGCTGGAGCAGTTGTGGGTCTGAGTCTCGCAAGCCGACATGGACTTGAAGCAGCTAGGAAGGATACCGCGAACAGGTCCCTTCTTGTTGTCGGCTGCAATGACGACGGGGAAGTCTTCCAGGTCAGGCACCTTGGAGACAGCAGGTACGGGCTGGGAGGAGAGGATTGCCTCGGGGTTCTGGCGGCGGGCCTCCTTGGAGGGGACATCGTAGGCGCCCCACGGTTGGGCAGCGCGCTTGGACTTGGACTTGGCTGAACGCGGCATCATGACGACAGTCGTGGAGAAGCCTTTCTCCTCGGCCTTCTTGTTGACGCTGCTCAGCACTTGGGCAATCTGCTCGGTCGATAGGTCGTCTTTCGTGCCGGTGGTCCAGATGTTGAGGTAGCCATTGTAAGCGTCCGACTTCTCGTTCGGTGGGAGCGCCGACTCAATGTCGAAGTTGGACGTATATGTCCGTTGCTGGGGGTCTGAGAGTGCCGGCAGCGACTTGGCTTGTGCTATGAAGTCCATGACCAGGCGCTGGTTGTCCTCGACAGATGGCGCACTCGATATCGCAAAGTCGTGTGTGCGGTCTGATCCATCGTTGATGATGACTGAGAGCTCGGGTTAGTCGTATCCTTCGCGATGCTGTCGTCACGTATGCCCACCTGTTGCCTCATCTTGCTCGGCGCCCTCCACCCACATCAGCAGGTGCGCCTTGGATTGCTCTGCATCGTCTGCGCCAAACAGCTTCTGGTGCCTTCCTCCATACGTGTTGATGTGTCTGATTGTCTCGGCCTCGGGGTGCTCGACAGAGTGGAATCGCGATAGGCCCAGGCGCTGGGCGATGATCAGACGCGCTGTCTCGGGACTGACGGTGGGGCGAGCTGCAAGGACGGTGCAGTACAGCGATGAGGCGACAAAGGCGCCGGATAGCTTCATGGTGGCGGTGAGGATGGAGTTGAGGACGTTCCGCGATGATGCAGGTGCATCATCGCCATCCTGAGCTGCGCTGCGACCTAGACGGAACTAGCGCCGAACCTGCCTCACCTCCGCCCGCAACTATCAGTGATACAACCCGTGGGGCGCTATCAACCGCATTCCCTTGTTAACGCCGTACAGCTTCACGCGCATTCTTTGTTCTAGAAAGACCTAAATGTCTCTCTACTTGATCTTGCGTTCCTCATTCTCATAACACTCGCTTCCGCCTGCGCCAGACCAATGTCTACGCCACTGGTGCTTCGGCGCAACTTCTCCCTCTTGAACCGGATACCACATGCGCGTATAGTCCGATCGGCAGCACGAGATGGCCACGAACGAGTCATAATACAACGAGTGCGTATACGGCGACCATTCCTCAGCAGGTCGTGAGTCGCTTCACACATCCCCTGTAGTTTCCACGTGCTAACTGTCCACAGACGATTAGTCGGTGCCGTCGCAGTCGGATTGGCCTTTTACGGAATCTCGAGATATATTAGCATAAGTGTTGAAGTTGAAGAGGTCAACGACGGCGGGTGGACAACGGTCGGCCGAGAAGCAGACGATGAAGACGAAGACGACGACGAAGAATACGACCCTATACTATTCATACCCACCGGCTTTTCGAGGCTACAGCCGAAGAGATTTTGGAAAGGGTCAGATCCAGAATGGCAACAGTTCAAGAAGCTGGCGACAGACCGTCCAAGGATTGACAAGATACGAGGTACGATATCCTTGGCCGAGCATGTCGTTCATGTACTGACAACGTGACAGGAGAATTAGTATACAGAGTACGCAACGCTTTCGCCAAGCACCCAATTCTCGTCGCAAAAGCCGGCAAAATCGACACGAGCAAAGGCAAAGTGTGGATTGAGGTCAAGTTTCCAGACACCACGCCCGACGAATACGCACAGCCCGGGATAGAGCTGTTGGAGGATGGAACGTTGCGGAAGGCAATGAGACCAGTCGACAGCACTGTTCACCACCGCCTGAATCGGCTATTCTATCCCAAGGAGGCAGCAAAGGCCATATACAACAGCACAACGAGCAAACTAGGAAGCTCATGGAAAGGATTCAAAGTCTATATGGGCTGGAGTCCAGAATCGAAGACCGAGACCGTCCAGGAGCTCGTTCAGAGAATAAGCGCCAACCCGCGATCATCGGCGAACCCCACGACGAGCGTCCCTTCAAGGCCTTTCTCCACGTCTGCGACACCTACCCAGCAGCCAGGTGCGTCGCCCTCTGTCGCACCTGTCGACGGCGCTACCAAGGACCTCGACCGCGTCACAATCGATCCCAAGAAGTTCACACTAGACCTGTCGCAATTCCAGGCCGACTTTCGCAGAACGTTCAAACCGTACCCACACCCGGTCCCGCGCGGCGCCTTCGTGGTGATGGGCCTCGTCGAGGTATACGGCGAGCGAGCGAAGATCACGGTCAGTGTGCACGCTGTGTACGATCCCAAACAGGGTCGCTACGTGGGCGTGACTGCACAACCGTACAATTTTGTGGAATTTCGTCAGTCCCCAAAGGGCGGGCCGTAGATCTTGAATGATGGGACTTGAAGCGTTATACCCGGCGTCGAGGGCGTTTTGAGCGTTAGATATCACGTCATGTCATTCATTGTGTGGGTAGCGTCTGCTTGCGTTATGTGATCACGTTGAGCGGCATTTGTAGGTGTTTAGACTGCTCTAAGTGGGGGAAGGAATGCTAGACTTATACATCACTTTCCATCGTCCCGTCTTGGTCGTCTATGTCTATATAAATTCTCTCTGGTCTTTGTGCTTCTGCTCTCTCCTATGCACTTCGTACTCATCTTTCCAAAATGATGAACAGCCGTATGCATGAGTTGCGTCTTGCCTTCCGCATCTCTTCCAAAAACGCTGATTCTCCGGGCATGTTTCTTCTGCTCATCGAACGCCTACAAATTACATCCGAGGACTGCGAAATGCCGCCTATCTTCCTTCCAGAACTTCCTTTGGGCTTCTCGTCATCGAAAAAAGAATTGGTCACTTTTCCATGAGCTCACCGAAAGAAGTGCCGTCTCACCAGATTCAGTCCTTCCAAAAACATGCAAGGCATTGCCGCATGGCACTGCTCCAGCAGAGAAGTTCAAATTTTCACTCCGTTGCACTTCTCCTCTTTCATATCAATACTTCTCGCAAGTACCAAAACGGAGTTTAGCTGACTCCATGAGAAGATCTGGAAGAGGAGTTTGTGAACCCCGAAAATGAATCGGAGGTGACACGTCCTGCGTGTTGCCTCCAAAATCACGGATAAGCCAAAGAATGTCTTGCCTCTCCGAGGTTACCAACATAATCTCCTAAAGCTGTAGAAAATGATTGCATGTGTCGAAAGAAACGCACACTTTGCTTTCATGATCTACTACAAAGCCGCCGCGCTTAGTACGATGCGCTCTTTGTCGCGACAGAGCTCAAAGTTCGAAAACAAGAGGGTAGTCGTACATGGAGTGAGTGCGGACTTACTCTGCGCTTTACCAAAAGAGTTTCATCCGGACAACATGGTTGCGACGACTGAGACGTACCTCATGTACTAGATCGACAAGATGGCATGGTCATGGACTGCTATGGCTGGTATAAAAGCTAACCACTCCTGTTCTTTTCCTCTTCTTTCTTGCTTCAACATACCACTTGTTTGTTTTCTCAAAATTCAGAGCGGAAGCGGTCATGGAGTCGACTCCTGCCACTCTTCCAAAATTCCATTACCACATCACTATGGAGTTCTATCGTGCCTTCTCTCGTTCAATGAAAAGAAATACTACAACGCGCAATGACTTTTCGGCGGCTCCCTGCCTTTCCAAATCGACAGTTGGATTGGAAACCATCGGCCTACCAGGATGGCCAGGGCTACTTTCCTCTTCAAAAACCGAGTTACCAGACCATGGTTCGACTTCGTCTGGTTGCGCGCTACGGGTGTGTCTATATAAACCCTCTTCCGTCGCCCTTTTACTCCTCTTCCAATCCACTATTACTCTATCGCGGGAACAAAAAGACAATCAACAAGATGCTATGTGCTGCTTGTGTGCTGCTTCTGTGTTTTCTGTCTATCAAAAAGTGGAATCCAAAGTTTCATGTCTTTCCCCCCTCCTTCCTGGATATCGAAAACAAGATCTATGTCTATCATGAGCCTTCCAAGGACCCCCTAAAAATTTTCGCAAAATCAGTACATGACTGCCAACAAAATCCTGCAACAGCATGTCACGCAATCGAAGACCTCCACATATCGAAAACCAGTAGCGAGTTTCCCATGATTGGGGCTCATAACGAGAGTCCAAAATATAAAAGAGAGCTGCTTTCCTCCCTTCCAGCGACTTTCAACTCTACCGCCTTCTTCCTCTTTCCAAAATAGAATGAAGACATAGACATGAGAAGAGCCTGCGCGCGCATCTTTACTCAAAATTTTACTATTACCGACAAATGTTGGCGGAACGCTTTGCTGGCCGGATTCTACTACTCAAACACTCCCTTTCTACCGGCATGACCGCTGTTTGGTGTTCTGCCCCAAACATTATCACAACTATCGTATGTCGCTGCAGAAGCATTCTGGCGGGCTAGCACAGCTTTTAGGCAACTGAAAGTCCACAGAGAGCGATATATGAGCCGGAAAGAGCTAGAAAAGGGTATAAACACCCTATCTGCTTGCTACAACTCTTCTTCTTCACAGCATCCGGTCACAACAGCAAATTTGACCTTTTTTCCAAAACAATACCATCCCGTTGTGATGTAGTATTTTCTCCGAAATCGACTCCTCTACTACGTATGTCCTGCGGTCCTTCCGCCTCTTCCTAAAATCGACAGTGTCGATTTGATGTGTTGCCTCCACCAGCGGGGTTTACCATACTAGAATATTCTCAAATACCGAACTCAGACGATATCTTGTTCCCCATGTTCAGTACTATGTTTTCTCGGAGCCTTTCCAAACACACCTGCAAAGATTACATGAGAATCATAGGCAACGCAAGATACATTCCACGCGGCGACTCGGAGGCTTTCAGTGCATAAGCTCTCCGTTACTGTTTTCCATTGCTTCTTTACTTCAGCGGTGCTTACAATCATCGAAAACTACAGGCACAAAGTTTGTGTGCGAGCTGTCCAACAAAACAGAGCTATGCTATAATCCCATGAGACGTTTCCGTCAAGTTCACTGATGATTTCTCAGAATGAGACTCGTGTCTTCAGTACACTAAGATCAAAGTCTGTATGCCTTGACTTGGGCGCCATAGTTGCTCGGGCGAAAAGGCGTGTGTATAGATAGCATGAGAGCGTGGGAGTATAGAATGACTGTAGCGAAGGAGTGCCAAGCCTCCTCTCCACTCTCCGCCTTCTGCGTTGTCTACACCTCGATTTTGACCTCGCCTGCTCCAACGGCACACGAGCTCATTCAATGTAAGAACCGAGCCTGCTTTTCGGTAGCAAGAAACGCGTGCCAGATACAGCCCGCGTGGTCCACCGCATGATCATGAACCGTACGGGTAATCTTTGACGACCTGTCGAGTTGGAAAAGTCGATGCAATACACGCACACCAGAGACATGCAGTTCCCGAAGCGTTCTTATGGGAATGCCTTGCGCGAAAGCGAGCCTCGTTCTGTCCGTGTTGTCTTCTTGCCAAATTGATGTTCTCCTGCCAATACATGTCAAAACGTTATCCCATGTTCATCGGCGACGACGTTAAAGCCGATGGTTATTAATAGTCTGCCGCTGATCGACTCATGTCCATCCATGTCTATAGCCACGTATTGAGGCCTTTGAAGAACACAGACTGTATAGGGAGAGCCGACGCATCGACTATCACGATGCCACCGGAAGGTTTTCGTATTGACCGTTGTCAAGACAGGAGCAAAGTCCGCATCATGGCCTTCTCCGCATCGCGCACAGTCTCCTTCAATGATTCATGCCAGCCTCGCCGTTGTCAATAATAGCAAGATCGCGACGGAGTTGCCCCTTGGCAGCAACACGAGTTCGTACAGCTATTAGCAGTATCTGTGCTTCCTCTGTGCTTTCTCCGCGTGTGGTGCTTTTTGCTTATCAACGAGCCACACCGAGGTCAAAGCCACAGACCCCACCAGGGGGTGGCTGATAAAAGCAGTGTTGAAGCGAGTGATGATGCTTTTCTCAACCGATGCGCATGCATCAATGTACCCAAGTGGTATCCAGCAACATGACGTAAGTACGATAGGCTTGGACGGGTGTTCAAACGCAAAGCGTCGAGGTACGAGGATGTCGGGCCGTGAAAGTGCCGCGCGGTCAACGGCGGCGTCGCAAAATACGAACTGCTCGGTACTCCTGCTGAAAGTATGTGCAGCGAGGTAATGCGGCCAACCTGCAACGTTTTCCCTCCATCTTTCCGTTCGCGGGCGGGGAACTGCTGTCGCGCCTGCTACTGCAATGCAGTCGTTCACGCTAGAACTCAACGAACGGCAATTCCTTCACCCGGTGCTTGCACTGCGCGTGCGTTAGCGCAGCGTAGTCGCTTGGTTACAACCGACATTTACGTATGGTAGTAAAATGTCTGCTCCGTGTATGCTGATACGTGGAGACTGTCGGATGTGAGTCTGATTTTCTCAAGATTCCCGAGGCCGTTCATGTAATGCAAGTGCCGGTTTCGCTCTTACCATGGTACTCGAGCCCGGCACGAAGGGCCCAGGTCTTCCTTCAGACATGCTTAGGTCCCAGACGTCTCTTTCTATCACAGCAACCGACAGTACTCGGCATCTTGCTGCGGGAAACATAATTTTCAACACGCGAGTGGAACGTCTTACGTGCTGTGAGCAGCGCTCGAAAGCGGGGATGAGGCAGAGTTTTGCTTACAACCTATGATCGGTGACGGAGTGGAGAACTGTCAAAGTCTGTTCTGTAGAGGCTGACAGAAGTTTGTGGACTGCAGCCCAAATGCCAGATTCCAGAGTGCGGACCGGCATCGCGCTGACATGTGAGAGAATGAAGCGACTTGGTTGTAGAAGGGTCTCGACCTTTACCAGTCGTCAAGTGTCATCCACCTCGGCGTTCAGAGGCCACAGTAGAAAGCCGTGGAGTATCAGCCGTGTTGGGAGCGCCACGTGAAAATGTCAAAAGCACGCGAGGCGTCGACGCCGTCGCCTGCGGCACCGCCTGAAGATGCCGCCGGATGGACAGCAGGCGTTCCTGGTGGTTGACGGAAGATTGCGGCTCGGTACGGGCCCATGGCATTTCTAGGCTTGTCTCATGGCCATGATTGGTGGGCGCATCCAAATTATGAGAAAGTCAGAAAAGCAATACTTTGTTTACTTTCTGTCTCGGAGGTCCTTGCTGCACAACAGAGCTCAATGCGCGCCGCACTGTCGTCGCAACCTGCGATGAATCATGACGCACCTCGTATCGTCTCGATTCGCATGACAGCATTACACGTTGTCGTTGATGATTTGTGCATGGGTGGACTCGAAATGGTGAGGATCTGCGCGGGACGTTTTTGATGTCGGGCGACGCCTGCCTTAATCTGCTTAGCGCGCTCCACCCCAAGTCAGTCCGCAGTCCAGAACAATGCCTCGTCCGGTCACCAAAAAACTTGTTCCTGTTTGTTCCTGCGCTGTTCCTGAAGAGACAGCTAGCCTAGACATGGATGCTGCGTTAGGTCCCCCAACGTCGCTCTCCAAGCCCACTACTACGCAAGATCTTCTCGTGCATATGCCGCGAAAACCAACGTGGCTCCAGCAACCCGGCGAGCGACGATCAATCGTCAGCATCGTGATTTGACGGCTACCCGACGTGTAATTTCCACATCAAGCTTGGCCCCTACAGCCCTACCAAGATTGACGAATGGTCAAACCCCACAACCGGCGCCGTCAGACCGGGCTTGCGGGAGATGGTCTTATCGCACGTGGATTTTCGGAGTTGGCAGTAGGCTTGGGTGAAACACTGCAGGAAAGGCCGAGAAGGCTACGCCATGCGCTGGCTCGCACAGGCGGTGGGCCACAGCTGTTAGTTCCGTTCACTGTGGGCGCTTCCTAATTTCCGTAAATATAAGTAAGTCGAGGAAGGCACCATGAAGCGGTATCTCACTCCTTTGAAGATCCAACTCAACCACGCTCTCTAGCAACCCCACAGTCATTCCTTGATCAACTGATCTGTCATTCATTCATTCATTATGCTTACCTCTACCTTCATTTTGGCCCTTGCTGGCCTCTCCTCCATGATCGAGGCATCTCCTCTTCAGGCACGTGGTGGAAGCAAGCGTGGTCTTGCCTTCCCCAAGAACCACAACGGTGTTTCTGGATCCCAGTGGACTCACAAGTTCGCCGGCTCCAAGGTCTCCTGGATGTACGACTGGGAGGCAGTCATCGACGGAACACCCCTCGACCTTGAATACGTCCCCCTTCTCCACTCCAACCAGCAGTGGTGCACTGAGGGCTGGAACACCAACATTGCCAATGCCAAGAAGAACTACAAGGTTTCGCACGTCTTGAGCTTCAACGAGCCCGACCAAGCTGGTGGTGGAGGTTCCAACATCGATGTCGCCACTGCCGCCGCAACCCACAAGAAGTTCATCCAGCCCCTCGCTGCCCAGGGTCTCCGCATCGGCTCTCCTTCTGTCACCAACGCCGACGAGCCCAACAAGGGAATCAACTACCTCAAGCAATTCATGTCTGCCTGCAACGGCTGCCAGATCGACTTCGTCGTCGCCCACTACTACGCCTGGGACAACGCTCAAGACTTCAAGAACTACCTCACCAAGTTCCACAAGACTTTCAACAAGCCCGTCTGGGTTACCGAGTTTGGTGTCACTTCTGGCAACGCCGACGAGTTCCTTAAGCAGGTCCTTCCCTGGATGGACGCTCAGCCCTGGATCGAGCGTTACGCCTACCACATGGTCGCCCCTAGCACCGACCAGAAGTACCTCATCTCTGCTGATGGCCAGAGCCTGTCTAGCATTGGCAAGATCTTCGCCACTGCTTAGAAGTTTGCTGTCTTGATAGACGCATCACGAGTTACGACCTTTTTACCTTTTACCTTCTCGATACCACGTTACCTTCTTCTCCATAGACTTTGTCGAGACTTCGGTCTATACCTCAAACCATTATTCGTCTTACCATTAAACCTATCCATATTTGTAATATTTGTGATTCTGGTTACGTGAAGGTTCTATACAAGGTTATCAAATTCTTTACTAATATATATCATTATCCATAGATTCATTACCCAGCTCTACCATCTTGTACCGGTCTGCATCGCCCTACTGGCATCGTAACTGTACATCGGTAGCCTCACATATGCCTTCTGCAACTCGAGTTCTTGTTATATCAGCCACTACGCCACCTGATCCTCGTGCATGATGCAAAAGGAAAGTAGTGGCGTGCAACCATCACGCCAATTCCGCTACCTGGTACTTTTCTCGCTTCTTTCTGGCGAGGGTGTGATGGAAGATTTGGACAAGCACACGACTTTGAACGAGCCCCCTGTAGAGTTTGCGCAGAAGTCGCTTATCTAGGTACTGTTTTGTTTTGCTTATCATCGCAACGATGCAGGAAGTTTTCGATCCGGCGTTTGCTTGACGCATGGAGGATAGTTGCAATGATCGGATGTAGCTCATAGTGACCTTGCTCAAAGTTGGCGAAGATTGTAGTTTAGCGGGACAGTAAGGACTGTAGGATTGATGCTAATGCTCGAGGTTTGACAAGTGACGACATATTGGAGGACACAGAAGCTGGAAATGGCTAGTGTAGGTGAATAGTCAGGCTGTAAGTAGTTTCACACAATGAAGCCCACAAGGGTTGAGTCGTATGTCCGATCGAATCCGGCGTTGTGCTATACTCAGTTCATGCCCTGCTGTATCGTGATCGCATCGGGTTAGCGTGAACCTCACGAATTCACCAACCAGCGAGCGCCGGTTAGCGCCGTAGGACAAGCGCGCGCAACCAACTCCTTGTACCTGCCCTATCTTGATATATTAACCCTACTGTGCCGCAATGTCACATCTTGGGGCTACGTGCTGCGACGAGGCTGTGCCCATCTCTTGTCCCTTGCAAGAAATGCAGTTCACCTCCCCCTTCGAGAAGGCGCGCGCTACAATTACTCTCCACTACCTGATCATCGGCAACTGTTCTAAGAACCAGATGTTACCTGCGCACGCATGGCACGCGATGTAATCACCGGAGTCCTCCTGATATTCTGTTCGAACACCTCTAGCTCGAGTTATCGCGCATGCAATTCCATCAACTCTTAGGTCCTCAACCCACTTGGCATCAAGCGATGATGCGTTCCCGCAGACAGATCGAATCCATAGTGGTAGCAGTATTTCTACTCTGCGCATGGTATCTCTTCGACGCCCACTTCAATGTCGCCCAAGGAGGTTCCCTCGAGACCAGCGTCGATAAGAAGCCATGGCGACATGAGTCAACGGAAGCGGCAGGAAAGCAAGAGGTATACGAGCAGGAAGGTGCGCATGGAGGCGCGAAAGGAGAAGCATCATCGACCTCCACGTCCTCTCAACATATAAGCATATCGACGGAAAGCACTGCGGCTGCGACACCTACCCCGTCGCTACCCGATCGCGTCGTGGTAATGGCAAAGCTTCCCACCGACGAAACAGATTGGGTGCATACCGATCTACCAGACTGGCAAGCGGCCATCTATGACATCGATACCGAAACTCCACACGACATATCGAACCTGGATCCGATGACTAACAGCACTCTACGCACCCTCCGGAACAAAGGAATGGAAGCAAATGCGTACCTTGCGTACATCGTACAGAACTACGACAACCTGCCTTCAACAATCGCGTTCATACATCCACACAAGGACGGCTATCCAATCGCATGGCATACCGACAACCAAGAGCACTCTAACGTCGTCTCTCTGCAAAGCCTCAACATCAACTTTATCCAGAGCAATGGCTACGCGAATCTGCGTTGCGTCAACGATCCCGGCTGTCCGCACGAAGTGGTGCCGTTTCGCGATCCGCCTGAGGAGCATCGAACAATCGAAGCAGCGATGCCGGACGCGTGGCGAGACTTGTTCAACAACACGGACGTACCGCATGTACTGGCGACGCCTTGCTGCGCGCAGTTTGCCGTGTCGAGCGAGCAGATACGAAAGCGGTCGTTGGACGAATACAAAACGTTCTACACTTGGCTGATGGAAACGCCGCTGAAGGATGAGACAAGTGGGAGGGTGTTCGAGTACCTTTGGCACATTCTGTTTGGGCAGGAGCCCGTTTAGTAAGTGCTTAGTCGATCGAAGTCGCATTGCGCCGCTGCTAACGTGGACCAGCTGTCCCGCATACGAGAAATGCTATTGCGACGTGTATAACAGATGTTGAACACGCACCTTTTCGTGGGTAGTGCAAGAAGAAAATAAAGTTCACGTGGGATCTCTGGCGGGCAGGCACCGGAACTTCACAGTCGCGTCGCCGAGCCTGCCCGAAAATCCCCCACACCAGCTGTCCAGTCTGAAGATCACGATACCAACTTGAGCCGCGACATCTCCAGTCGAGTTGCTGATACAGCGCCCTGTGCAAGAATAAGGGCTCAAGGCCGACGTCGTGGCAGCTCCACGCCCCGTCGTGCGTCGCGGTTTCGTTCCTCGCCGCGGGTAAAAAGAATGGCAAAAACATACAACAGCGCGGATTCGCTTCTGGTCACCCACGAAGCTACTAATGCGCCGGTATCTTGCTTAAGTACCGCTGAGCGAACAGGAAGCGCTGAGTTCAAGATCCTATGGTCGTATGTGAAAGAATGAGCAATCTGGCTCAATATATTCTTACTGTAACCTCGGCATGCAGCAAGCGAATGGAAACAAGCTCAGCTAGGAGATCACAAAGGATACAAAATATACACTCTCTTCCAGCTATTCTATCTACAATACCCGTTCTGCCTCAATAACACTTTCTACAGAGTGACGTGGTCTCCATATCTTGAGCACCTTCAATCCTGAACTCTCCACCAGCGCCCGCCACTCAGCCTCCGTTCTCTCCTTCGCACCAAGGCACGCCATCATGGTGATATCGGACGTTGTCACGCGAGCGAGCGGCTTCACAGAGCTAACCAAGCTTTCGTGAATGAGAAGCTTCGAGTACCCAGGTTCCATAGCTTCGGCAAGGTGAGAAAGGATCTGCTTCGCCTTTGTGTCTTCCCAGTCGTGCAGTACGTTGTGCATGAAGTAGGCACGGGCACCTTTCACTGGCTGTGGTTTAAAAAAGTCATGAGGGTGGATAGAGATGGTGTCGTCAATGGTCAACTCCTTGAGAATATCGGGCAGGTCTTGGAGCACCAGACTGCCCTCAGGGATATTAGGGTGGCGCAGATGGAATTTGGTCAGGTCGTGGCCCTTGCTACCACCGACATCGACGACAAGGGGCCGGTCAGGCTTGGACTCTTTCACAAGAGTCTCAGTTGGGTAAACATCAACCCAGGGCGTCAAGTTATGCTTGGAGTGACTCTCCATGGCATCATTAAATTCCCTTGCGGCGGCAGGGTTCGCGCCAAGGGACTGGAACAGATTCTCATCTGAGCCCCTCATGAATTGCCAGTTGCAGTCGTTGGGATTAGTAGGGACCTTGTATCCCGTCTTCTTGAGGTAGGCTGGCAAAGTCCTGAACATGGGGGAATTGACGAAGCCATAAAATTCACCATAGACGTTGGCGAGGGCCTGATCCTCAGCGAGAGCGTGTACCCACGGTGTAGGTTTATAGGTATCCTCGGCGGTCTCGATGACAAGATTCTGCCCAGAAATTTGCCGAATCATGCGTCCTGCATCGCCGTCAGAATGCTCCTCAAGAGTTAAGCAGAACGGATATGTAACCTACGGATAAGTACTACATCGATACCCGTTAACTCAGCCAGTTCCGCGCAAGTTTTCTCTCCGCCTCCGGTCTTGATCCATTTGCTGAAGACACCCGCGTCAATCAACGTCTTGACGCATGCATTGGTGGCCGGGTTGACCCAGCAGTGCTGCCAAACAATGTCCCACGGCTTGTGTACTTTGCTCAAGGCCAGGGTCAGCGCGTCCATGGCACGGACGCGCTCTGCTTCGCTAACGAAGGAGTTCGCGTCGAGGCCCTCCAGGGCTCCGATAAGTTGGTCTGCTGATGCCATGTTGGAAATAGGAATTAATTTTTGGGGAAAGATGCAGGAACAACGGGAACGACACGCCGTCTATTATTTGATAAAGAGTAATGTTGTTATCTACCGTAAATCGCGGCCATATCTACCGGCCGACTGGAGGTTTCCAAATACTATCATAGTTAGTAAGTTTCTTGTAACAGTTAAGCGCGTACTAGGATCCATTCTTCCTCTATGTACTTTTCCTGATGCGTGAACTGTCCTCCAAGACACGTGATGTGGCAGAAATTCTACGGAGTAATTAGTCCCGAATTGCATCTAACAAGCCGCACGATTTAATGCCATGCGGGTTGAAGTGGTTAGTACCGATCGGTTGAGGACACGATATCCGAAATTCGAGTGAGCAAGGATGTCTCAGGGGCGGGCCCACCTGTTGGGCCCCCAACTTCTCACGCCACTCTTGGCACGCAGCCCCTCGAACTGGTGCGAGCGTCCTTGACAAGACATGTCTACTGTAGCAGTTGAACGTTGGTGTTACTGGAGAGTCTGTATTGAGTTTCACAGTTCCTCGCCTTAATAACATTACATCAACAACCTCATTTCAACGACATCAAAGCTTGCCCAATCAGATCATCACCACGACCCTGCTGCCCGAGCGCGCGCGTAGATGCTTGAAGGAAGTACTGACCCCCACACTGATACCAAGCTACTTGTCACGATCGTCAATTGGCTTCGCCCATCGGTCGCCCCTCGCGCTCGTCGTCACGTTAAACTCAAGCGTCTTGTGGATCTGGTCCGCGCCGTGGTAAACGAGCGGGATGTCATCGATGCTTTCACCGGTGTGGGTCGATGTCCTCTCCACGTCATCCAACTGATGCCTTAGAAGTTTTTCCCACCTTCCGCTGGTGCTGGATAGCCCTCCTCGGTGGGTGGCGCTGCTGCGTTGTCCCTGGCTGGTGGTCCTACTGCCATTACCACTGCCACTGAGAGTCCGAACCTTGCCTCTGACCGAGCGGAAGAGCGGGCCCAGTGTGGGCAAAGAGGAGCATACAATGAGAATACAACCCTCTCCTAGACCGAGTATATCGAGAAGCGGTACCGGGTCTAACAGCGTCAGTTCCATGCAAATATGTGGGATGAACAACTCACAAGTCGGGTTCTCAGCCAGTACTACGAAAATTTCTCCAAAGATTGTGAGTTTGTAGATGGTGAGGATGAAGGCCAAGATGGTGAGGCCCAGCGCGATCGAGACCAGGATGCGGTTCTTGAGTGGCATGTTGAGGCGCATAATGAATGGAATCGGGTACACAGCGAAGAACACATCCAAGAAGGCAGAGTAGGCCGAAGTGAAGTAGCCCAAATCTGACATGACCTTGGTACTGGCACATTTTCCACCCGGTATGGTTCTGTCCCAGCCGAATTCGACCGGATCGCATTGCTTGTACCACCAGATCGAGGTAGCCAATATGCAGGCCTGGGAGCTGAGCGCGAGGCCCCAGAACAGTATCGTCGTTTTGAGGCCGTAATCCAGAATACGCTTGAGAATAGCGATGATGGCGAACTTGGGTAGCGAAAACGTCCATATCAGTACCGAACTGATGATTACATTCCACTTGAGAGCTCGCGGTATCAACGGGGGATCGATGGCCTCCATCCTCCGTCCGAGACCGTACTGTGTGCCGATCGAGATCAGGATGCAGGTGACGAGCATCACAACGACGCAGAATACGGTGATATAGTCGTCCATTCCAAGGCCACCGCCTTTGCTGGACATGCGAGTGCCGACTCTCAACGCCACGAACACTGCAAGACAGTTAGCTGCCATTCGGCGCAACATAAGAGGGCTACTCGCCAGCTGTGACTGCGAACATAGACCAGCAAGCCCTATCAGCGATAGTGCCATAGTCTTCCACGTCCCACAGTCCCATGGTGTTGACGGTTGGTGTTGCAAAGGTTTGCGGAACGTTAGACGCTCCTGGTGTGATAAAGTGGGCTCATTGTTGGATACACTGCCGTCGGATGCGTAGCATGCCGCGTAGGATTGCGCGTAGGATGCGTTCCATGTAACAGTCCAAATCCTTCGCCGGCCCCATGAAGTATCGATTTTCGCCTCATAGTTGGCATGTGTTATTTAAATTGCCAATGCATACCGTGTACAGAGGATCGACATGTGATCGGAAACTCCTACAGGGGAAAATAGCAGGAAAATCATCTCGTACGGCATAATGACGGAAGTTGTTGAATGACTCAAGCGAATCAAAACACACCGATCGCCCTACCTTCTGAAAAGGTCAAAGGATTCCTACCCCAGGAGTTCCCGAAGTCCTGGCGAGACTCCGTATCAGCCCTGCGGTTCATGACTCATTTAACCGACATTCAGCTCTCTCCCAGAAATAAAGCAACATGTGACACATTCGACACAAACACCCAAATACCGCATGTGAAAGAAAGAGCATTTCGACATGTCGTATAGTCAGCTGTCCGCCAAGAGGAAGCCAGAGTATGGAAACCAGCTCTGCCAAGCTAACGGCTACTGTATGAAGTTATATGCTACATCCAAGCGATCAGGTTTAACAGAGAAGGTGAATGATACAATATGGTGGGTCAGTGGCGTCAGCTCAGGCACATGTTGGTACATTGGGTACAAGGGCTTGGAACTCATGGGACAGTAGTTGATTGCTTTAATATACATTCGAGACGTCACCTCTTTAATAGGCGTAGAACATCGTAGTCTCAGAGTTCGAGCTCCTAATCCTCCTATTCTCCCGCACCAACCACCAGCGCATGAACCATGCGCCAGCCGCACACATGAGTGCCATACCAGCACTCATAGCCAAGGGCAAGACGAACCGCGGCTCTGACCACTCTGGCCAGATGTACTGTTCAACATTAATTAACATATCCAGGCGATCAAGATGCGAGACTTACGGGAGTCCAGATCAAGCTGAGTGTAGCTGCGACGTTGGCAATAGCCAGCGCCGCAGATTTCTTCTCCCTCGTTTGCCCACAGGTTGAGGACACCCATCCAAGAATAATGCTGTTGACGCCATACGTGCCGATGGTAAAGACGCACATGGCGAAGTACCTCGCGCCCACATTCATAGTCGCGCAGCCGAGCACGAAGCCAAAGACAGCCACGCCTTTGGCAATGGTGATGTGCCAGGTGCGTTCGTTGAAATGGCCGGATGATATGGCCCATGCGACGGAGAATGCGCCCGCAATCAAGTAAGGTGGGCATGTCAATACGAGTGTGACTTCCTGAGAGAAGCCTAGTGTGTTGACGATCGTTGGCATGAAGTTCTTGAACCTGCAGAGGTAGGGGTACGAAGTCAGTATATGTCTCACATGCACTTCGTATAGTTAGAACTTACCCATTGGTAGCAATGTGCCTAGACAGTGTCAGAGACGGTAGTTGTAGCGGAACTGATGGAACTAACAGGTGTTGCATGTAGACGAACACCCAAACTTTGGGGTCGCGGATAGCTTCCATGAGGCCTGCGAGCATGGAGACGTCGGCGGAGTGGCCGACTGTATCTCGCGCAACCCGGGCGTGTGCAAGTTGGCGTTCTTCGGGGTTGAGCCACCATGTAGTTAAAGGCTCGTCAGGGAGGGTAAAGCAGGCGACTACGGCGATGATAAAGGTGACGACGCCCTGTATGATGAACAACCAACGCCATCCGCTTGACATGAGGTCAGTATTTGTTGCACAAGAACTATGTGGAGATCATACCTGATACCACGGACACCATCGAGCTTGAAGACGCCAAGCGCAATGAGTCCAGCGAACGACGACGCGAGAATGTTGCCAGAGTAGAGAATGCTGATGCGCGTCGCAATCTCCTTTCTCGTGTAGAAGATGCTTAAGAGATAGAGCGCTCCTGGGTAGTATGGTGCCTCGACCACACCCAGAAAGAAACGTACAAGTACGATGCCTGTGTAGTTGTGAACGATAGCGGTAAGCCCGCTTACAACCGCCCAGCCCATCATACAGATTCCCATGTACCACGAAGGTTTGACGCGTGTAATAATCATGTTGCTCGGTATTTGCCCTAGGATGTACCCGACGAAAAGAATAGAGATAGCAGTGCTGTATTGGTTGCTGGTGAGTCCAAGGTCGTCTTGGAAACCATTGAGGCGTGCGAGGGTAATGGCGTTGCGGTCTAGGTAGTTGAGCCAGTACATCAACCAAAGCATGGGCTGGATCGGGTGATTAGTCAAAATTTGGGAGAGATGGCAATAGTTGACTGACCATAATCCAGATGTCCAGCTTCCTGACGAGCTTCTTCTCCTCGCGGCTCGTCTTGGCCACGGCCCCAGAGTAATCACCTTTGACCTCGACTTTCTCATACTCCATATGCTGGCTCTGGAACTTCTCATCGATGGGGTCCACGGTTTGACCTGGCATGGGAGATCCTACACCCTGCACGGGCTCAGATTGTGGTACGGCCATGGTATCGTCGACAGGGTCTTTCAGCGTCAAGAGTAGGGCAAGAACCCAGGCTAAAGGCACTGCGAAAAAGATGCATGGTCTTATTGACGGGACAGTGATTTATATCGAATCTCGTTCATTTACCCCGCGCATCGCACACTAGTCCTTCTCCCCATGGGGTCGCCCCGGATAATGGCGTCCTCGCACCAGATATCGACATGAAAGTCAGGGTTGGGGCGCTAAGATCCCAACTTTGGTAGTCCCGCTCCGAAGCGCTGACTCGCAGTGGCGGGTCACCACCCCTCGGCGACGCCGCCCCGAGCAAGACTACCGGTGGACTGCTTGGCAACGACGCCGCTCGGCGTGCCCACGCCGAAAGATGCAAATGTAACTATTCCAGAGCGACCGCATCTTCCGTGAGCCGCAAGCGTAACAGATGTGTGGTGATTGTGGCGCCGACAGTTCCAGTCAATTGATTGTGGCCAATTTCCGGCACACTCGAAACTGTCGATTGCTTCACCCCGCGCAAAAGCGGGCAGCCTCATACGAAGCCAGCTTTGGCAACGGTGGAAGCATGCTAACATCAAAAATGCGTATCCATTGTCATGTCGTTGAGCGGAGGTTCCATACCACCGTACAAGTCGAAGCTGTCGAACCACGCCTGAGAGAACCGATACACGGACATGTCGACTTGTTGTTGATCGTACATTTGTCGTAGATCATACGCAGAGCCCTTGAATTCATTTTCGATCGCCAGTGGGGATGCATTAGACACCATTCCATCGGTTCCGACAGGCTGAAGGTATTGTGGGTGCATCCAGTGAGGCTGGCCCAACCCATTCGAGTCTGCATCCGCCGCCAGCTCCGACCGGTTGCTGCACTGGTGGGCACTGTCTTCTGTGCTGTTGGCCCCAGGGGCGGTGACGGCGATGGGGTGTGTGCTGAATTTGATAACGTCGATCAGGATAGCATCGCTCAGCCTGTTGAAGACATCGACGCAGCGTTGCAACGACTTCCATCTTTCCGATACCGCTACAAGGACGTTTGAGCATGTTCGTGTATCGCTAATCACTTCCATAGTGCTTGGATTTCTGATCAGCAGACCACCTAGTCGTTGACCTTGCTGTCTCCGAATGGCCTGGTAGTGCATCGTTACAGCGTACACATATGATAACCCTGCCATAAACAAAGCTTGTAATGAAAGCCAGCTGTGATTCAAGAGCCCCATACGATGAAGGCTAGCATACGAGGATATGGAAGCCTGAGAGGAGGCGAAAATCGCTTGTACCGCAACTGAGTCTCTTGACGTGTCCAGTGTGGGCGATGGTCGATGGAGCATTAGCACGGCGTTATGGTATATCATCTCGAACCAAGTTGGTGAAGTGAAGCAAGATGAAGGCCTGCCTTCATCCAGAGAACCCGGATGAGCGACGGTTTCGGCATTCCGGCGCCAAACTCTGAGGTCGGCAGCGAATTCATCTCTACGGTGGCGGAGCTCATCATCCGACTGATTTCTTCGACGGTGACTGTGCAGAGTCTGGATGATATCACCACACAGTAGGCGATACTTGATGATCTGAACGAAAATTGGTATGCGGCGGCATTTGACCAGGTTCTCGACCATGGGCGTTTCGAGTCCAGAAAGCAGGATCTCGTCACATAGGTTAGACGGTAGTGCCGCGTCTACGTCGTCGTTGTGAATTGCCAGAGGTCTGCCAAGTATGTTGCTGACTATTCTAGTACGCTGTCAGCTAGTTCACCCTCTGGCATATGCTCGCGTCACAATTGCTTAACATACCTGTCCATAGCCACAATGCTCCAAAAGCAAAGCCGGGAAACTTCCTGCTGTACAAGATCGGCACTCAAGTCTGCATTACTTGTAGAGTCATCCGAGCGTTTGTAAGGATATGCAGTTTCACAGTGAAGGCCAAGTTCCAGGGCAATTCTGCTTCCCACTCCTACCAGATGCCACATGCCTGTGTAATTGTTAGATGGCTCTTGCGATCAGGCAATATCTGTTCTGATGTATCGAGGTGTAGCAACATACTGGCTGAGATATCTTCCATGGAACTGCTCATGCGATACTGAATCAACAGGATGACTGCTTGGAGTGCGCCGAGCCCGCCTTTCTCTAAGACGGTCGAGGCTCGCTTCATCGCCCGTATGTAATGAGTATGAGCACTTGGTAGCCCTTGCCAATCGGACCGGCAGATGCTGGCTGTCGCGATAGCGAGAACCATGTCGAAAATGAAGGTTTCACTTGCGGAGCGCGTGGAGGAAGTCGCGTTCGAGCTATATATTTCCGAAAGCATCGCACCGAGAGTAGCAGGGAGGACCACAGGGTAGCGTAAGTGGTCATGGTTGAGATATGACAGTACAAGTCTGCTCGCTGTCTGTTCAGATGGTAAGTCTCGAGCAAACTCAATAGCCGAAGCAGTCGCGTTGATAGCATCAGCGTCAACAGGTGGAGTTGTCGACGGCGTTGAAGTTCCAACGTCCACATTGGCTCTGATGAAGTTCGCGAGAAGTATGCCGCTTGACGACCCCAGATAGTTCCTTTCTCCGGATGCATTGATCGAGAGGTAGGACACTTCACCCGCGACGTCGGTAGATGTACGACGCTGCGAAGTGCCACTGTCGTTTCTGGAATGATTACTTTGGACATTGGGGGCGGAATTTTGGCCTGTAGAGGATACTGAGTCTGCCCTCCTTTGTTGCACAAGAGTCCTATTTTGAACTTCTAAGCGCTTAATTCTGCGTTCAAGCGTGTCTACGTGGGCCTGGCTGTAGGTGCGCGCTTTGGTCCGATCTGTATAGCGGCATTCTGATCCATTCAAGCTGCATCGTCGGCACGGGAGAAGCTTGTCGCATCGAACCTTCCTCTCATGACAGTGATCGCACCTGCACGTCGACGTTAGCGCTCTATACGCGTCGAGACGCGTTGTGACCGACCGGGTAATGGGCTACGAAGACATACGCTTGCATGGCTAGGATCGTGCCCTTGCGCGTCTGAGAAACTCGGTGCCCAGATCCGAGAGTTTCGGTGTGTGGGAGCGAGATATGGAGTAGGAAGAGAACCGCTGGCCGAGATGTTGGCATGGTGCAAGTGCCGGCACCGGGAAGCGGGCGAGCAGTAGCGTGATTCGGCCTCGGCCCTCCACGACCGAGGATGGAGTCATTCTGCACGAACAATTACACTAGCATGATGGCGTCGATGTCGTGAATTGAAGAGTGAACATGCTCGCAATGTCCGCGACAGACTGTGGGGTAATTCACTCCCCAACGTTGGCATGCGACACGCGACATCTTCCAAGGTTGTTTCGCCCACTCACGTGCACGTGCCTGCGATGACGCAGAGCGAAATGAACCACTCACAACTTCCGCAGCCCGAACACTGCAAGAACGTGCAGCGGTTACCAAAAGTCATATCGATGACCGTCAATACCAAAGTCAGTAGCGAGGTCAGGAGAATATTCTGGGCCGACAACAATACCTCCCTAGGTATATATTGCCTGGATAGGCCTACTACTACCGCGTCTGGTCCAGCCCGTACTACCCTTGATACTTGAGTATGCAGGCTATCCTTTCTACAAAGTAGAACTGGAGTAGATGGTGCCTTAGGTGTCTTCGCTACCACGAAGCCTTTCTGGCTACATCGCAATTGCGCAGGCAGCAGCGAGTCCGCCAGGGGCAAGTACCCGACAGCAGCGACATACATTACACCCGCAATTCAGCGCGACTTACGACGTGCAACTTCCTACAAACACCGTTCTTGGTTCCATTCCTGTTCCCATCTTCAACTCTTGCCAACGTAGCCCAATTTATCGCAATGGTAGTCAGCCCCCTCTTAACGCAGCCGATGTCCTATGAGCCCATCGAAACCCGCATTGCCGCCATGCGCGCTGCTCTATCCGAAGGCTTCTCTCCCAACGAAGTCGACACGCGCCCCCGCGGTGTAGGCCGCCCACTAGACTGTGCAATCGAAGATGGCTGGCCCGCCGACTTTGCCCATCTCAAGCAAAATCTCCCTATTGTCCATCTGCTCCTCGAAGCCGGGGCTGATCCCAGGCTTCCTTCTCGGGATCCGCCCGGTCGCTCGCCAATTGATTCCCTAGAGGCCTGGTTCAAGCAGTATGAGATCAGAGGGCATGAATTCGGTGCCGAGCATTTGGAGCTGAAACCGTTTTTTGAGGAGGCTTTGGAAGCTATGAAAAAAGCTGCTGATGAGCTTAATGGTGAGTTTGCGTTGACATAGTGTTGTGTATGTCTCTTGTTCGTTGGCTAAGCTAAAGTGCGATTAGCAAAAGACGCTGCTGAAGCTGCTGAAGCTGCCAGAAAAGCTCGTAGAGAGAGACCGTTGTTTGGTAGGCTGAAGTTTTGGTGACGCGATCGATGTAGCTGCAAGGGGTAATAACAGTGCGTTTGCGCGTTTAGCCCTCGGAACCGGCTTAGCTCTTTGCTCATAAGACGGCACCGCAATTTATTGGTGGCTTCAGCATGATCGAGAGCACGGGTAAAGTGTGGGCAGTGAACAAAATGTGGTATCTTGTACCTGTCTCCGGGCCTGAGGCGATCCGGCGATAAACTTCCAAAATCGCGACTGCCAGGACGGGAAGATGGAAGACGAAAAGGCAGAAAGGCGGCAAGGGAAAGAACTGCAAAGAGCGCCAATGGGGACGAATGCGATTTGTCCAATGCTCATGTGCTCTTAAATTTTGCATATTGTACGTCCTTGTCTGTTTATACATGCCACATTCAGGTCGATAGGGGTTCTCCACCGTACAGCTTCGTCATGTAGTGGCATTTTTCAAGACATTATACTGTACAGCTCCATATCATCCGCTTAATCCTCGATATCATCATCGCTCAACGTGAGACTAGCGCCTTTATCCGCCAATCCAGCAATCGCTGTTTCCGGCTCTTGTGCCTTACTCTCAAACTTCACCCGTCCTTTCTTCTTCGGCGTCTCCAGAGTCGGTTTGTCCGTAGACCACTGCTCTTGCTCGCCAGGGCGAATATCTTCTTCAGCGTCATCTTCTTCAGTGGCACCGGAGAGAGCATTTCCGGTGAAGGCTGTGATCTTCCGGATTTCGCGCACGGTGGCTGCAGTGGATGGGTTCGGCATGCGTGATTTTCGCAAGATGGTGGTCATGTAAGGGAGACGTTCCAAAAGCATTTCGTTCCGCGCCGAGCCACCGCTTCCAAGGTGAATTGAAGCTGGCGCATCTTCTTCGGCATCTTGCGAGCCGGATGCCGATGTGGGCTGTGAGAACGAAGCATTGCCTTTCCACGACTCGACTCCTCCGCTCGAGAAAGCCGCTTTCGATGTAGTTGACCCTGTCGAAAAGAGCTCACCACGCTGCGCCTTTGATACCCACATCTCCAGTGAACCCTCAATCTCTTCCTGTTGTTTCCATATACGTAGCGACGCCGGATAGTACATGACAAACGCGTTGCCTTTTGCCGCTCCACCACTTGCTCCTTGGCCTTTCGCCTTGATGCCCATGATGCCTGGAGGCGGTGCAACGCGCTTGACGGGATATGGCAGGTTATACAGAAGCCCGCGTACGCTCGTCTGAAAGCACATCTCGTCTTGACGTAAATTGTCCGCACTAGTTCCTTGAAGGACCCGTCGGCCAGCGCCCGCACCGAAGCGGTCCGGCGATAGAAGGTCGGCATCGGAAAGAGCTTCTATACAGCCCTCGATAGAGTCCATAGTCTCCTCACTATCCGCAGCTCCACAGGACAGGACGTAGTTCTCATGTAGAGCAGCGACAAAGGTTTGGGTATCGGTACCCAGCTCATCGATGAGAGTGTCGACATTGACCTCCGAGGCCTTCGGTCTTCGCCTTTCGGGAAACCAGTTCGGTGGATGTGCCATGGGTGTGTTAGGGTCCTCCGGTAGACGCTTGTTGTACACAACCCTCCCAACAGCATGAAAGATGCCGAGAGTGCTTTCGCGCTGCGTCACCATTTCGAGCGACTCTTGCTCGATCTTCGTCATCGGTATGTCTTTCGGGCCCTTCTTCTTCGTGAGGTTGACCTTCGCGCCCCAGCCTTCCGCATCATCACCTCGCAGGCAGAGGAACTCGAGAGAGGAGACAGCGCTCCGAATGTCCCCAAGTTCTGCAAGACGCTGAATCGCCTGTGGCCCTAGAGTCTTTTTGCGCCCGGATTTGCGCGCCTCCTTGACAACAATCGTTTCTAGCGCCTTTGTCATGTATGTGGGGGCGATTGGGTTGAACTCGAGAACAGACACTCCGGGATGGGTCAGGATCTCAGGGCCTAACAGCCGATGTGCAGTGAAACTGTCGGCTGCCGCCGTGTTGGTAGACAGCAGGGTCTCGGATATTATCATTACGATTGGGGTCACTGGCTGCTCGGGATCGACCTGGGTCGAAAAGAAAGCAGTAGCTGATTGCGTATTGGCAGCAAGATAGTTGAGGACGGAAGAGCGAAAAGATTGAACGGCCGAAGAAGTACGTGTGAATGTATTCGGAAACTCCTCTACTAGGACCAGCTGCTTCTGCCTCTCAGTCTGACTGTTCGACGAAGCCGTCTGGGCACTCATTGTCGGCTCATCGAAGGCCAGACTACCAAAGGCTCCAGTCCTTCCAACGAACTCTTCGAACTGTGCAGTAGCAGACACAAAGCTGTCGGAGGTTGACATGGAACCTATCGGGTTCTTCCATTCATGCATGTGGATGCCCAGTTCCTTGGACAGCAGGGACATGGTGGTGGTCTTCCCACTGCCAGCAGGGCCTTTGAGCAGCAGCAATCGCTTGCGTGCCTTGCCGCTGAAGACGTCTGTGAGCCATGTCCGCACGTCCGCCACCTTCCTCTTATGCACAGCGAGCTCATCGAGCGACACTGGGCCGTACTTTTCAGTCCACGGCCGCCGGTCTTCGGTATCCTGCCGCGCTGGCTGGGACGATATCGGTGTTGTGGATAGCGGGGTTGTACTACGCGCTCCGCTCGCTGTTCGCAGGAACTTCTGCCTGTTGCTCACAGCATTGACAGGGTCCGTTGGCGCTGTCGCAGCGATCGGTCTCTTACGAACGGGGAGAGGTTTCGGGGGCTTGATGGACGGCGCATCGTCTGAGGAATCAAAGATATCGTCTACATCTTCAATTGACAGGGCCGGTTTCTCAGGGCTCGGCGTGGGGTGCAGCGACTGCGAGCGCGGTATATTACTGAAGAAAGAAGTGATAGGTTTGGATGCTGGCTTTGCTTTAGCCGGCGATTTGGCTGGAGACTGCTTAGTAGGAACTGCTCGCGATCGCGTGGGCGAGGCTGCACGTGTCTTGGATCGGGTAGCCTTCTTTTCTCCATGCGCCCCAGTCGCGACGCCTGTTAGTGTGCCCCTCTTGGGACGCGCGGGAGGCGGTGTATGTGAATCATCCGCCTCAGACTCGGATGAGACGACGATCGGCTTTTTGCGCGTGGCCCGAAGCTTAGCCATGCCGCCCCCGTTTGATGGACCTGGAGAGCACTCGAACGCAGAGTGACATGCTCAGTGCTAGGCCGGTTGGGGGTGCAGAGCGCGTGATGGGAGTCCAGCAGCCGTGTCGAGGCTGCGTCGCGTCGGAGCGCGGAGGAAGTTCCACGGGCCCAAGCGCGCTAGGCACAGTGGGGCCAAGAGCTGCTAAGGCTGTTGACAACGCACCTCTTTTCTGCATCTTCACACACACCGCTGCTCTTTTCCCGCTAGCACCCGCTGTAGTGCGCTCCTTTCGAGGCTCATATGCAGCTAACTTGTCCAACCGGAGACCGCCACAACGCCCTCCCTGCCACTGTTGCAGGAGGTTCAATTTTCGAGCCCCAGCGGCGTCATCGCGTGCATATCGGCTCGTTGAATCGCTGTCGGACAGTAAACATCAACAAAGAATTCGGTCCATGGCCTGTGGCCGGTCCACTGTCGCTGGCCGCCATCGTCGTACAGAGTGAGCAGCGCAGCAAGACCATATAGACGTAATTGTACCAGACACGCGAAGTCGCATTCGATGGCTGGTAACGCAACGCTCGGGGCATATAAATTAGACCGCTCGAGTTTACGATGAGCTGGCACTTCCCTGCCAATCTCCCATTGGGCGGGAAGGCGTTTGCAGCTTGTACTATCCTCTTCCATTCTTTTCACTGCCGCATTCCTTATATGCTGATTTCGCGCGTGCTCGTTGTTTTTTGACATGTTCCCCGTCGTCATGCTCCGTTAACAGGCGCCTTTTTAATTTTTGCGAGTATCTGAGCTCAACGTGAGAAGCGCAAACTCCAGCGCAGGATTCGGGAGTTCTTGTTGCCTTTAACGCTATTCACAACAACTATCACGTTTGGCGGCCGTTATGGCAAAGAAGAAGAAAAGCAGCAAGAAACCGGTGGAGCCCGTAGCTCCACCTGACAACGTGCCAACGAATGCTGCGGAACCAATTCCTGATGCGCCTGAAGCTCCATTGACAGCAGAGGAATCAGCCACAGAAGCAGAGTCCGGGGAGCAGTCCATGCCAACCGCTTCCGAAGTGGAGCCCGACGAGGGTACGGTTCCCATGCTGGTGGAAGAGTCCACATCTGCACCCTCACAACACCCTGAGACCATAGAGACTATACCGGACGAGGCTACAGAGGCACCGGCCACTGAGATCACACCTGCTGCAGAGCTAGATCCACCTATGGGGGAAGAGCAGGAATCTGGGTCGCCAGCGGATACTACCGAGGCCGTGGAGTCAGAGATTGCCGGGCAAAGCGCTGAAGACATGCATCATACTCCAGCAGAAGATGAAGAGTCATCGGTTATTTGGGTTGGAGACGCGCACGACCCAGAACCCGATGCAGAGCAGCAAAATACTCCGGAGGAACAGCAGCCCCTCCAACTAGACGAAGAGTCCACACCCCAGCCAGACCCTGTTCCAACTCAAGATTCTATTGAACCAGCAGACACGCCGGTTGAAGACACACTCTCGCCACAAGAATCTACAGCAGAGCTAGCGCCTGAAGCAGAACCTGAAGTAATTACTACCACCGCGGAAGAAGCTATCGAACCGATAGACCAGATGGATGGCGGTCTTAATGCGAACGGAGCTGAGCAAGATTTGGCGGAGAAAGTCGAGGTACCAGAGGCACCAGAGATAATGGAAGCACCTGAAGTACCAGAGGCGCCGGAAGTGCCAGAGGCACCCGAAGCTCCAGACACACCCACAGTACCAGAAGCTTCAGAGACTGCAGAGGCTCCAGAGGCACCTGAAGTGCCAGAATTACCAGAGGTACCTGAAGCTCCCGAAGCTACCGAAGGGCCGGAAGCACCAGAGGTATCGCAACCGCCAGAAGCTGTCGAAGCGCCAGAAGTACCAGACGCACCCGAAGCACCAGGGGTATCAGAGGAACCAGAAGTCCTAGAAGCGCCAGAGGCTCCCGAAGTACCTGAGGTACCAGAAGCGCCTGAAGTACCAGAAGCACCGGAAGTACCAGAAGCATCGGAAGTACCAGAAGCACCGGAAGTACCAGAAGCGCCAGAAGCGCCAGAGGCCCCCGCTGCACCTCTGGCTCCATCAGTGGTGTCAGCTGGCAGTGATGAGGACGACATCATCGAAGCTTTTACGGTCGAGGATCTATCAGCACCAGAACCAGAGCCTGAGGCCGTTCCAATAGCAGTCGAACGGTCGGTGGACGTCGGGCTACCAGATGCGCCTGTCGAAAGAACATCAGCATCAGAAGCCCCTGAGACAATCACACAGCCTGAGTCTATTCCCGAGACTTCGTCTACAGATGCCCACATTGAGCCGATAGAAGAGCTCGTCGTAGCTGCCCAAGACGAAGTACCAAGACAGCATGCCGACCGAGAGCAAGAGCGGCTTGAGGCCGAAGCAGCGGCCGCGGCTGAGGCTCAAGAATCTGCCTCGCTAGCGCAGGCCGCCCAATCCCAGGAAGACGCACAGCGAGAAGAACTGAAGAGATTGGAGCAAGAAGCAATCGAGCACGAGAGGTTAGCGAAGGAGGCCGAGGCCAACAGACTACTGGAGGAGCGACGCGCAAGAGAGGCCCAAGAAGAGCTGGAAGCTGCCGAAGCCGTGAAACGGGCTCTGGAAACCATGAGAGCCAAGAAGGAAGAGCAGCATAAGGAGACCGAGAGGCTCGAACAAGAGCGACTGGCCCGTGAAAGGCTCGAGCAAGAGAAGTTAGAGCAGATTGTCGAAGCGAGGAAGCTTCTGGCATTAATGGAAGAAGAACGGAGGGCTGCAGAGATCCAAGAAGAGGCCGAAGCCGTTGCAGTCGCCGAAAAGGCTCGGAAAGAGAAGGAAGAGGTCGAAGCTGCAGCTGCTGCCGAACGTGCTCGACAAGAGAAGGAAGAACTCCGGCAGGAACAATTACGACGTGAGAGAGCCGAAGAGGCTCGAATTGCTAGGAAAGCCCGAGCAGCTGCGGATGTCCTTGCGGAAGAGCAGAGAGAGGAAGCAGAACGGTTGGAACGGCTGGCCCAGGACGAGTCACGTGAGCAAGCCGAGATACCCTTCATCGCACGTCGATCCATGATCGAATCAGCACGTGCTCCGTCACCTCCTTCGGGAGTACCTGACATGCACGATCGTTCTCCAGTCTCTGATCGACCATTTCGATCGTATCGATCTTTTGCGCCACATGCACCGAAGCTTAGAACACACGAAGCGGGTCCAAACCATGCACCGAAGCCTTATGCTGTGGCACAGCTCATTGAGGATAACAGACCTGCGGCCCCAAGCCCGCCAATGAGTAAAGCTCGACCAAGGTATGTGAATTCCATTTCTCAGTCCGGTGAGGTAGTCGCTCGGCGCTTCTTCGGCGACCGTCAACCACGACGCCGGACCCAAAGCGAACATGCTCGAGATACATAAGGTTCCTGGCCGAACTCTGATGAATAACGATACTAACTACATGTTTCCCTCTAGACACGCTCCCACCTTTGACAGCGACGACGATTCAGATTCTGCTCTAGTACAAAACAGGATAGCGTCGAGGCGTCCATTTAGCGGTGAAGCGCATGAAGTGTCGCGGTCCCACTTAGGCCCACATCAACCACGTAGCGCTTTTGCATCCCGAGTGCCTGTTGAGCCCACCTATCCGGCCCCTCCACCAAATTATCATCCCAGCTACTATGCCCCGCCAGCCCAGCCGCCTCACCACTACCCAGATCATGCCTACGGCATGAGTCAGCAGGGTTATCCCGCGCCTAACCCCAATCCTTACGGCCCTTCGTCGCATTCTTCCTCCCCTCCCTACCAGGAATCATGGAGCCAATACCCACCCGGGTACCCTCCTTATGGCAGCCCACATCATCGACAGGACTCCTCTGGTTCTAGAGACCTTCATTCACATGTTTTAGCCAGTCGACCTGCAATCGAACACGTGTCTGGCGACGCACTCTCACATATCCCGCAGACTGATCTGCACGTTCTACTTGCGCATTACAAAGAGACTCACAACCAACTGCGTGCTAGGGAGGACCTGCTTCGTCGGCAAACTGCTGAGCAAGAGCAGAAACTCCGCGCAAAGGATGGTGAGATTGGTGAGCTGAAGCAGAAGATTCGCAACTTGGAAGACAGGCATTCAGCCGAGGCAACCAGACTACACTTTCAGATCGGGAATCTGGAAGAGCAAGTCAGAGAGCTCCGAGAGCTGATTGCTGAAACCAAGAAAGCTAGAAGAGACGCCGAAGAGACCAAGTTGGTACTGGATGCAGCCATGAGGTCGTGGGAGGACAGGTACAAAGAGCTGGAAGATGTGCATCGCACGCTGGAGAGGACCTCTGCCGAGGAGAGGGAAAGAGCATGGAGAGATTTCGACGAATGGAAGGAGGCCACGAACACGAAACACGATGCGGAGAAGATTGCCCTTGCTATCCAATTCGACAAGAAGCTGAAGCAAGCTGGGCAAGATGCTGCCGAGGCGGCTGAGCTCAGGGCTCAGCTTCAGGCAGCTCTTGACCGAGAGCAAGAACTCATCAGGGAGCGCGACGACCTTCAGAAGATGCGAGAAGACTCAGATCGCCGGGCTGGGGAAGAAGCGGCGAGAGCCGATCAACTGGCGAGAGAGAAGGATGAGCTGATGAACTCGTTCGACCAACTCAGAGCCGAGAGTCAGAGGGAGAAGGAGGTCATCAGAAGCGTTGCCAGCAACCTTGAGTCGGAGAAGTCTAGACTTGAGAAGATGATGGAATGCTATGGTGACATCGCCGAGATCAAGAGCAAGGGCGACAGCTACTAGTAAGTGATTCCCAGTTTTGCACATTCGCTCTTGATGCCGGCACGATGGTAGCAGGGGCCGCATTGCCGCCAGTGTTGGTTGATGGTGGGCGGTTTGGGTGCGCTTCGTTATCCTTCAACGGACAATGGAGTGCACCGAGATCAGTTGCTTATCTTCTGGCCGGTGGCTGTGATGATGCAACGGGAGCCACCATGTCTTGCCATACACTGTCTTTCTCGTCTACCGCTCGCGCAATGCGATGTTTGTTATCACGTCCCTTCACTGTCGCTTTGTTCAGTACAGAGTCGCTCGCTAACATCATCGCGTCTAGCCTGGTATCCTTCACTCAGCTTCAAAGGCAAATCATCGATCTTGCTACAACCCATTTCGTTCACCTTCCAGTAAGGCCGCCGCCGGAGGATCTTGCGCAAGTGCCGTCCAACCTACCGTCCTTCCTTGGTGATAGCATTGCCTCCAGACAAGTCCGAACCGCATACATCGCCCACACTGTATCGAAGCTCATCACTTTCCGTGTCTTTGGCCCATTCCTGTTCAGTCTTGGACGCCGCTACGACAAAGCCGACTCTCTTTTCTCCTCGATGAGCCACCACATTCGCGAGAAGAGCACGCGCAAAGAAGCGATTTGGCGACAACAAACACTCCTTGCTGCTTTTACCAGCACTGGCGCGAAGCAGCGCATCAATACTGCTGCCGGAACCGTTGTCGAGGAGATCGTCAACGCTATCCGACACTTTGCTGATCCAAAAGAGGAGGAAGGCATCAAGATCGCCGTGAAGCGCATCGTGAAGGTCGCTGCGGAGACATGGAGATTTGCTCGTCTCGAGCGAGAAATGATCACCGCCGTCATGCCTGCGCTGCACGACGAAGAACATCAATTTACCAGCAACCAGTTCTGGCCAGCTTACAGCCCAGAAACAGGCTCAGCGACGGATGACCCACCTCCTCCTGATTCGCAACGACAATTGCTACTCAGGATCTTCCCGGTTGTATACCGCGAATCGAAGCACGAGATCTTCCAGAACAACGAAGAGCAGCGTGACGAAGGCTGCATTCTCCACCATGGGCTGGCTCTGTATGATGATGCAGAGCCAGTTGTGACGAGAATGGAGGAGCTCAAATCTGCTGGTTTGCCTCCCCATACCACTGCATTAACGAGTCCGACTGACGAGGGCAAGTTTCCGCCGCCGGTACGTAACACCACCCGCGTGTTCACCTTACCCCAGCGTTCCTAGCACCGCTTTCGAGCTTCCTTCACCCAGCCTCTGACAGGCTCGCGATATATCGAGATCTACGTAAGATGAAAAGACTGCTTCAGATCACTTGGCTAACACGCTGGCTTTCCAGGCTTGCCCGCCTCCTCGCGACCCGATACCACCTCCCCCCTCTCCCCCCGCCCCTCGATCTCCGACGAAAGCCGAGACGAATACGGATGAGGAATCTCCAGTGTCACGTCCGATGTCACCGGAGAAGCCAGAGAAGCCCAAGAAGCTCTCGGCCATCGAGCGAGCGTTGAACCTCTTCTCTAATCCTTCCTCGGATGACAAGATGAAGCCTCCACCTCCAGGCTCCACCTTCTCACGTCCGCCGGCGCCCCCAACGTCCGTGTTTACGTCGCCCAGGAACTTCATTGGCATGCCCGTCGAGAGTTTGGCTCCCTCACATGCTCCGAGTGCAAGGAAGAAGCCTCCGCCACCACCGCCGAAACCCGCGTCGAAGCCTGACATACCTTCAACGGCTGCAGAAATCGCGGAAGCCATACGCCATCGCCAGTCTGTGGAGAGCGCGATCCTACCGCCGTCCTTCTCACGGACTACGACGGATGACACTATCCACGAGCATCCCGATTCGCGAGCTCCTACGCCGGTAGACACGGTGTCTCACATGTTCGATGCCATCGATGAGATCGAAACGCTGGTGCCCCAACGTACGCGAACTACGTCGACCTCTACCACGCATTCGCGACGCCGCTCTACGCACACTCGCCGATCTACCGAACACGCCATCGAGGACGAGCTGTTTGACATCACTCCTCGACCGGATCACACTCGCAGAAAGAGCGGTTATGCGGCAAGCATTCGCACGACCAAGTCTGCCGATACCGAGCGCACTGATCGAAGCGAGCGCACCGACAAAAGTGAGCGCACCGATAAGAGCGAACGTACCGAAAAGAGTGAGCGGACAGACAAGAGCGAACGAACAGACAAGAGCGAGCGAACCGAGAAGAGCAGCCGCAGCCATCGGACAGAGAAGAGTGACCGTTCGGATAAAACCGAGCGCGAAAAGGCTCGTTATGTGTACGAGACGCGTGGTGCTGCTATGAAAGCTTTATATCCCAACACTCCGGTGAAGGGCTCCCATGGCAGCGCTAGACACTCCGAGAAGAGTGTGAAGAGCGAGAGAAGGAAGGAAAGAGGCAGCAAGGACTCAACCAAGGAATCAAACTTGACGAGAGAATCCCGAGAGTCGAGAGAGGCCAAGAGAGAATCACGAGAGGTCAAGAGACAAAGGAGTATCTCCGATGCTGGCACATGGGATACGAACAGCATCATGACTCACGACTTTGCGCCTACAACCATCACGACCAACGCACCCTATCCTTTCATGTACGACTCAAGACGAGACTCGAAAGAGTTGAAGCGAGAGTCCAGGGAGATACGGCGACAACGCAGCATCTCTGACGCTGGCACTTGGGACACGAGCACTGAGATCAGTCAGCGTCCTCCACCGACCACGGTCTCGACCAACGTTCCCTATCCTACAGGAATGCCTTGGGAGCTGAAGCGATCACGAAGCATTTCCGACTGCGGTACCTGGGACACGAGCAGTGAGGTCACTCAACGTGCGCCTCCCACAACCGTATCGACCAATGTGCCCTACCCTATGGAACAACACGTGGACGAGTCGGAACGATGGTCTATGCCACCACCTCGCAACTCAATGAGGATGGAGGTCTCCGACGACGAAGTGTCTGACACTGGGACCTGGGATACCAACACTGAGATCAATACCCACCGTGCTCCCCCTACGACCGTGTCTACGAACGTGCCCTACCCTTCCTACAACGCTCCTTCTACAATTATCTCTACCAACACCCCTCGTTTCACACAGCCTCCTCGACAGCTACGACGACCCAGCGTGTCCGACGATGACGCGTCTGATGATGACGTCTCCGACACTGGGACGTGGGACACCAACACCGAGATCACTACTCATCGCGCGCCTCCCACGACCGTCTCCACCAACGTCCCCTACTCAAGCATAATGCACCGCCAGCTGAGAAGGCTGAGCGGCAGCGATACCGGCACATGGGACACCGCTAGTGAGGTCACTCAGCGTGCGCCTCCCACAACAGTGTCCACCAACGTCCCCTACCCCTCCGCGCAATTCAGCGACCTTGGCCCATCGAGCTACCCACCCGGCCCCTTCGAGCAGCTCAAGCGAGTCGAGCAACTCCGAAAGCAGCACGAGCACCACAGTTTCTCTGACGACGGGTCCGACTCCGGCACCTGGGATACAAGCAGTGAGATCACTCACGCTAACAACGGGCCTGCTACTGCTACGCAGGTGTCCCAGAACAAGTCCTACCACCGTTCTGAGAGGCCGAGGGCACCAAGGAGACAGACGAGCCCGGCTATTTCCGAGGCGGGGACATGGGATACCAACAGTGTGATTACGAATAACGACATGAAGACGACTGTTTCGACGAATGTGGGGTATGCTTCTGAGCGAAGATCTCGATAGGTGGATGCGAGCATTGTGTGTGAAGACGGTCTAAATGGTCCGCGTGACACGGCTTTTTTTCTATGAGTTACTGTTGTTGCGCTTTGTTTCTTTTTGGTTTCGCTTTATGCGTATGGCTGCAGCTACGCAATACCGTAGGAGCACACGTTGATGATGCAGATGAAGGATGAACACGAGTGAGGATATATATGGATTACGGCCGAGCAATGCATGATGAAGAGAGTCTCGAGATGGTTGCATTTCTGTAGCAGGGCGTTCTGGTTCCTTGCTTGTTTGATTCGACGTAGACGAGCTTGTAAGATAGTTATCATATCATCTGTTTTCAAGTGCAAGACACTGCTCTCATGATGGGACTGTGTGAAAGAGTTTGAGTGTCTTTAGTTGTGCATGGCGAAGTCATTGCTGCGATGCGTAACTCTATACTCGATGTCAAAGCCTTGAGCACTCCAAAACGTATTCTGGTCTAGAAGTTGTGCTCTCGTACAAGCGGAGGTCGTGGTGGTGCCATCAAAGAAAGTGAAGGAAAGCTCCAAAACGCCGAGGCTAGCCCGAACATCGATCGCGCTCGAAGCTCAAGCTACCAAGACGCTCTCAAGAAAGTCCAACTCGCCATCCCAACGCCACAAACACCAATTCTCACCTCCTCCAACCGCGCCAATTCGCGTCAAACACCCAGAAAAACTCATACCAAGCTTCAGAAATGGCAGAACCATCTCCCAACCCAGCCGTCGCAAACCCCGACATCGACCCAGCGCTCACAAATGGCGAGGCGCAACAAGCACCCACAGAACAACCCGCAGATGTAGAAATGGCAGATTCAGGCGCAGTACCAGCGGTAAGCTACCATCCTAGACATAACCACCAGAATTCCCTTACTAACACACCCCTCAAGCCCACCACCCTCGACGCCTCAGCCTCAACACCCACCCACCAACCCAGCGTCCAAACCGTCCCGCCCACTCCCTCCACCTCCACGCCCGCACCGCCCTCCGCACCAACTCTACCGACCGCTACCACAGCGCCGACACCCACTCCCGCAGCCTCATCGCGCAACTCACCGCACCCCACTGCGCAAGCGCCCACACAACCTATTCCACACGGCAGTCCCACGCGGGTGTATCTGAACCAACATGTGACGCCGCATTTGCTCGAGGCGATGAAACATCTTGCTACTGCGGAGCCAGAGAAACCGTTGAAGTGGTTGAGTGAGTTTTTGGCGGGGAAGAGTAGGGAGATTGAGGGGACGTGATGGGCTTGTGGAGGATGAGAGATGGGATGACGGGGTGGGGAGGAGTTGAGCATGGCATATTTGGGACGCAGACAATGAAGCCATGTATATGGGCGGCTACATGGTGAGCTCTCACTCAGTCACTCGTGGACGAGAAGGAGACTGCCATACACATGCGTGTATGGGCGGTGAGCTTTGCGATTTATTTGTCAAGCTCGACCACCGGACGGGTAGTATGCTTTCGGAGGGCAGACAGCATTGGAAGACTCGAAGCGCGTGGGCAGGTGTTCACAAAAGTATAAGACGGCGTCAGGATGATACCCAAGTCAAGCAGCATTACAATATGGAAATTTCAGACTGTGACACTTTCAATGCAAATTGGGTATATTTCAATTCGAGGAGATGCTTTTGATTGATTCATTCCATATCGTGATCCTGCTAGGTATCCGCAAAGCATCCATGCCCGTGAAACTCCACTTAAATGTCTACCATGACGACTACCATCCACACCAATCCGACATCTGCTTATGCGACGAGGGTAGAGGCGGTGGCGCTCTCGTACCTCCAGGTAGGGGGGAGGGCACCGACGGTCTTGTAGTAGCGGGAGAGCTGAAGATGATTAGCACGTGCTTTTGACATGGTAGAGTTTGGGTAAACTTACACGGTGGATACGGGACTCGATGAGAATGAGGCGGAACTTGGAGTCGCGGTCCTTGCGGTTGGTCTGAAGGTGCTTGCGGACGGCAACGGCCTTCTTGATCAACATGTAGAGGTCCTCTGGGATGTCGGGGCTGAGGCCTTAAGCGCAAAATGTTAGCCTAGACCAACAAATGCAGTTTTGTATAGCGCGCAGATGCTCACGAGGAGCAGAGCTGTGTCGACATGCGCTTTCATGTGTATAGGGCGATCGTACCGTTCGACTTGAGGATTCGGAGGATCTTGTTGCCGGTGACAACCTTGACCTGAGCGACACCGTGCGAGTCACGGAGGATCTCACCAATCCTGCGATTGTGTTAGCCGACCAATTCCTGTGTATTCTTTTGCAAGCGATTTTCTTACTGAGATGGTGTAGCACCCTTCTTCGCGAGCTTGCAGATCTGGTCGACAACCTGCTCGGGGGTGGTCTTCAACCACGCCGGGGGGCTGCGGGAGTAGGGGATGGCGGAGGCTGATATGCCCTTTCCGTTGCTGTGAAGACGACCCATATTGAATGAATGTTCCGGATGGCGACCTGGTCGATTAGTACGGAGACGTGGTGGTGGGCTTGTCGTGGGTTGAAGTTCGCGATCGAAGACTCCAATTTCTCGCGGCTCGGCTAGGTCTGTGGTGGACCGTGCGCGGCTAGCGTCAAAGCTCCTGCCTGACAAAAAGTCTGCGACGTCCAACCTCGTCTTCAGCACCTCACAATGTCAAAACATTGACCTCGGCGTGCAACCGCGATTGTCTCGGCTATGTGGAAACTAGACACTCGCGCCTTGCAACGCGCTTGATACAGCTCCTGAATTGCTCACGATGTAGCCAGCTACAACAGCTCACTTTCAAGGTACGTTCAACTCAATCCCTCCCTCCCATCACAATGATGAGATCCAGTGCATTCGACGCCTCTTATTTTAGGCGGGGTTCTTCGGAACTTCGCCGGTGCATAAATCTCTATTCTGACAAGTGCCATTTCTGCTTTACTGCATGAAATCTTGCGAGCGACCAGTGCTGACAAGAACTAGATATACAGATCACCTCCACTTGCGCTTCCTCCTGTATCTACTACTTGGTATGTTTTTCCGCCGTTCTCTTCATCGCACAATGATGACAACCCATACTTTTGGCACCTCTTATTTTAGGCACACCCGTAAGGGCGTTGCCAGTGCATTCAACTTATACTCTGATCTGCGATCTTATCAACTTCTTTATTTACATGAAACTTTACTGGCGACATGGACTTACAAGAAGCAGTTTTCAATTACATTAGGTTGTTGTCGCCTTCAGCCTCGTTCAGATCGCACTTTCTTGTTGACTCACACGTACGCGGTTTCTCGTACACTGCTCGTGGCTTCCGCATGCTAGATGTCGTCACGCCATAGTCAAATATATCAATAATAATACATCCATGGATCCTGTGCCAGCTCATCACAACCCTACCTCCAACGTTTTCTTTCACGCTTCATACACATCCCGCAACCCATTGCTCGTACAATAGCCTCTTTCAATTATTCAGCATGAAGCATACAATACTAAGCGCAGTCATCCTCCTCCCCCTCGCCTACAGCAGAACCGCCAAAGAGCTATGTCGCGGTACCGCTGAACTATCCTCTGATGGCAACTGGTACTGTTCTGAGGTCTGGGCCATCACCTACCGCAACATCAGCCAGCCTGGTGCCTACAATCGGACCACTACAGTCGATCCAAAGACTGGTATCTGTGGTCATGAACGTGTCGACTATCCTAGCGCAGGACCACTGACACCATTGTTCGGACAAGTATAGTTTGACTCGGGCTCCAGTTGTTACATGGCTGACAGGATCAGGTGTCCATGCACCTTCGCGGGCCGATGAACGTCTCTCAACTCGCCGTATACCAACTACCTGGTGACGCGCGCGCTATGGGGAAGCGAACTACAGTACCTTTCTACAACCGTCGGCGATCGTTGGAGCAGCCAGAGACACCAGTGACTACAAACCCTACTACTATGCTGACACAGTCGACATCTTCTGGCCGGCCCAGCCTTTTCAACAGGGATGCATGCACCACATCGTCCAGGTGCGTCTCGACGACAGTGACACAGACGGTGACCATAAACGCGGCCTGTTCCCCGACTGGTATTACACAGTCTGGAACAAACACAACCTACATAGGTCCTCCACTGCCGTGCTTACCAACGTCTGGTGCTGTATCGATCTCTGGCTCTACACCTCCAGAGCCGAACTGTACTTGCGTTGAAAACGAAAAGCCCGAGCCCATCTTTCAGCGACCCAATGGGCAGGTTTACGTCAGTCCGACGCCGACACTAAAACATGCACCGGAAACATCATCGACTCAGGACACGCTACCAGTGTCACAGCATCCAGATGGGCAGCCCTTCGAGGTCCCTCCACCCTCATCATCACCACCGCAAGACACATTACCAGTGTCCCAGCGTCCAGACGGACAGCTCTTCGATTCCCCTTCGCCCTCACCGTCATCAACACAAGACATATTACCGGTGTCGCAGCTGCCAGACGGACAACCTATTCAATTCCCCTCGCCCTCGCCATCATCAATGCAAGGCATATTGACGGTGTCTCAGCGCCCAGATGGACAGCCTATCGTGCCCTCGCCTTCACCATCATCACCACAAGAGACGCTACCAGTATCGCAGCGACCGGACGGACAGCCTTTTGACATCCCTTCGCCCTCACCGTCACCTCCACAAGACCCATCACCAGTATCACAGCGTCCAGATGGACAACCTTTTGACATGCCTTCGCCCTCGCCATCGCCCGTCTCGAAGAGGCAGGTTTCAGATTGGAAGCGGATAGCATACTACACGTCTACATCACCGGCTCAAGCCACCGGGCTCAGCTTCATGGCTAATCTGGGTGATCCTCAGAAGTCTGGTACTTTTGACTAGTGAGTATTTTCTCATCCCACAAGTTTCGCAGCTGACATGTTCAGTGCATTTGGAAACTCGCTCAGCTACGTCACTCCACGGGGTGACAAAGTAGCGGCTGAGAGTCAGCCGTTCGAAGGCACGCTAAAGACGTCTGAGAACGAGATTGTGATCCTTTCCGATAAAGAG